GGCGACGATGATGGCGACAATGAAGACGAGGGAAACAAATGGGCATGACAAGAACGTAAACGACGCGACAAGCAGCGACTAAAATAAGAATTAAGATCTGGGGATAAACATGCCGGTTAAGCACGGGCGCGTTCTGGCACCCCACACCGTTTCGAGCTGCGCGCTTCGTTGATTCATCCTCTGCACAATACCGCATCTGGCAACATCTGGATGGCAGCCTAGCTCAAGGCACGACTAGAACCGAGGCCACAAGACAGCTACAGGAGATACACATGAAGTATCTAAAAATGGTTCGGACCTCATTTCCAACTCTGTTTCCTCCTGTGCTGCTTTCCGTGATCATCGATGATGCGGCTAAGGCTTTTGGCAACCTCATTATCAAGCTGCTGTCATGGGTCTCATATGCAATCAAAGGGAGCTGAAAAGCTATCCGATGCGCCATAGCCAAAAAGGAACGGTGTGTTGAAGGACCTCCGATACTCGGGCTTCTTGAATGGTGAAGCTTGAATGCATGGCCAGTAAAAAGCGCACCATCTATAATTAAAACCTCTATTCACGCTTCTATCATACAGCACCTCAAGTCGAACCCCTCGGGGTGAGAGCGTGTCTTCCAGTAGATGCTTCTGTACGTTCGAAGGTCATGAGTTCTCAAATTTGCAGCCTTGCAGCTGCCGATTGGGATACTGGTACAAAATTGATCAAGAGCATCTCACTCAGTGCAAATGCAACCTTTGTCGCCTATGTTCACGGGAGCAAGGGGCAAGAGCAGGATCTGGAAGAAGAGCAGGGTCGTCCTCACAGCAAGCAGACATCTGGACCTCCAGGCTCCTTGGCGTTGAAGATCTACCTGTGACCCCACACTCACAGTGGTGTCATGATTCATTCGAGGCTGGTTTGTGGTTTTACCTTGCACAAAGCCACGACCACTGTTGCACTTCATATGCATTCCGATTCAGGGCGATGAGTGCTCCCCCTATTATCCACTGCTTCAAAAGGCAAGGAGCGAAGATACTATGGAGCGGACCTGTGATGAACAGGCTACATGTCTCCCGCAGACTGCGGCTGAGCTACTCGATCGCACCGTCTGCCTGCATGGTTGGGTGGCTGTAAGCAACCTGGTGACTGCAGCGGCTACGGTACAGCCGTGTCGACCTGCGCATTAGTGTCAGACGAGCGCAACGCGCGGGTGAATTGCTGTTCAGTCTCCGGTCGAATTGCGATAACTCATACTTGTTCCGGCCTATTGGGTTTGATTAAACCTCGCCCAGTGGGATCATGCAAGCGCCACGCACGGAGCCGATGGCAGAAGCACACTCAGCAGCGTAACGTACCGATGCGACCGCCTGTAAGTACAGCTGCCTCTCATAAGACGCTCCTCACTCGTGCGCTGAGACAACACGGATTTTCTCAACGTCGTGTCGTTCTTAGTCATACTAATCGACCTTGCGCGCTGGACAAATCATAGTGAAATGTCTTCTGAAATCACGCCCACGAACTCCGAGGACTACACAGTCGCTTGGATTGCAGCTCTGCCACACGAAAGAGCGGCTGGGGAGATGATGTTGGACCATGAATACGTGCAGCCGAAGAGTTTCACTAAGAATGTTAACGACCCTAACAGGTACTCCTGGGGTTGGATCGGCGAACATCTCGTTGTGATTGCTTCTCTGCCAGCTGGCGAGTACGGGACATGAGCCATAGCAGGAGGTCACGGCAAGACAGTGCAGGTGCTACTCGGCAAGGGCGTAGACATCAACATGCAGGGCGGAGACTACAACAGCGTACTGCAAGCCGCTTCAGTAAGAGAACACGACAAGATCGTGCAGATGCTGCTCGTCAGAGGTGCAGACGTCGTTGCCGAGGGCGGGTGACAAGTTGACGCACTGTATACAGCTAGCCAACGATGTTGGTAAACAGAGGCGCTAGTGAAACCAGTCATATGGCAAGCAGCAGCAAAATCTGTCAATTAGAATAAACAGATGGTTCAGTCCCATAGTGACCCAAATGTAGGGATACTATCGGAGCTATCGCTAGCAATGAATTTACGCCCAGCTGCACGCTGCTCGATAGACATGAGCGCTTGACAAAGTCGTAGCTTGATGCCTCAAGCCTGGCTCACTTGACTATCGTTCTCCAGGTCGTTGCTCCATATCGCTATTTAAAACGCTAGCGTCCTACACTTCCAGAGTTTGATTATCGCTAAGCGCCTGGGGACGCTTTTAGCTAGCTTTATTGTTTTTGGCATTCGTAAATACGCTTGAGATCGTCACGGTGCGTGATCTGGACCCTACATGCATAGGGCTATGCGGGTATGTCAAATTGTGGCGGTTATTCTCAAAGGTTTAGTGAACCACGAGTGTATGCATTCAGTGTTCCATAATAACAGGTTTTAGACATGGCCCGTCTGCTTTTTGTGCTCGGCGTCCACTCTTCTCGGGTTTCAGCTGTTGACGGTCCTTGAATCAGTCGCCAATTTGATCGTTTATGCTGTCATAATGTGATATTTGTGTCACTCTATCGCTTCCGTCCCCAACAAATCCTCTTCCATATGCAAAATACACCCAAATATGATTTCCCTCCATCTGAACCTGGGGGTTATATTCGACTTTACCGCTCTGCAAACATCTGACCCACAGCTGATGGACGAGTGGTTCGTTTGGAAGTTCGCCGAGAACAGTAGGGGACCCTCCTAAAGATTTTCCTTAGCCTTTTGCCGCAGCTCTTCCACGACACGAGCAGCTTCCTTCTGCGGGTCCTCCGCAGCAGTATCGAAAGATGCCGTCGCCAGTTTCCCATGTGTCTTGTTCTTCTTGATCCATTCTTTGAGTGGCGTAGCCTTTGCCTGTGAGTTCACCTGGAGGACGATATTGCGCTGAGTGCCGACCATATCTCCAGCATCGATGCGCATCTGGTAGTCGGCATCATTCTTGTTCGTTTTCGAAGGCAGAATCCGCGAGCCGGGGCTGTGTGGAGCTTTAAATTTCTCCCCTAAGTTGAAGTTCTGGTTGGCTTTGGCAAAGAAGTCGCTAATGTATTTAGACATCCTTCTTATACCGGGACTGGAATGGAGAAGAGAAGTATTTGTAGGAGAGTTTGAAGGGTCTCGATCAATGCAGACCTTCGGATATCTGATCTTTTCGCTTTTCAAAGTCCTTCGAGATGATTCAAGTTTACAAGTACAAATGATCGCTCTCTTATATGGTATTAAGACAGACTTAAGCGCCGTTGCACGTGAAAGATACACTCTGTTCTTGGTATGAGCGCTTCGATGTTCTCATTCCCGCTAGGCGGTTGGCCAGTCGCTCATTTCGTACTTGTAATGAGCGTAAAGGTAGTGATTGGCTCGTGAATGCGTACCGCACGACTTCCGTATGCAAAGGCGCCAGCGGCGTCGGCTGAATGGCTGTGTATCGAATTAACGCGCCTACAGTATCAGATGATGTTCTTTATGATGAAAGTAGAAGTAGAGCGCTTGGATGTTACGCAAGACCCGAACATTTTCTCCTGTAGTCGACAATTGACAGCCCGAAATTGAAGGGAGTCCCTTCGGTGACGTTCTTGTTCGTTTAACTCACTTCCTCACTTCCTCACTCCCTCACTGCGCGATAGGGACGCTCATACTGACGTAAGTTACGTGTCAGAATGGCCAGCCAGTAAGTGACGGTAACCTAACTTTTTCTGGTCACTCACATGAGTGCAGCGGCTGCGAAGGTCAAGTCACAGTACGCACGATATCGAGTCCAGAGGACGAGGCGGAAAGTCCAAGGACGGGCCAAGATGCTTAGCAAAAAACCATGCCTATCTACGAAAAGCAGCCGCTGTCTCGCGGCAATGAGTCCCAGGGTTCCTGACATACTGACGGTGAGGTACGTCAGCATGGTCAGTAAATTACACGTTAGTTACCTATGGGTAAGTTAGCCCGTGCATCCCTACTGCACGACTCCCGCTTGAGGCTTCAGAGGATGGTGCAGAACGCATGCTGGTGGCACCAGCGCATGGACGCGTTCTAAGCATCCCATCGATATTGCAAGCGAGAGTATTCTTGGCGCACTTTAGCCCATCCATGATCGCGTTAGTCGATGTCCTTCTTTCTTCGGCGACTTCATAATCACAGTCAATCTTGCCATGAAACTTAGAATAAGTCTATCCAGAACATTGAAGTTGCTTCCGCGCCGGATCGCTCCACGACGAGCTTTCCTCACATCATCAGTCAGGAAGGAAACTGGAAAGATGCCCGGATCTCGCCACGAGGCGGACTGTCCAAGTGTGGAGACGCCAGCGAGATTAAGTCGTCGATACCACGGCGTTCAAGCCACGTCAAACCCCGACGAAACCATTGCACAAAGGGACTCAGATCCTCATGAATACACAAGCGGGCGATGGCTTCACCGCAACAAGGACCAAACTGAAGCACGCTACATTGAATTCGATTACGATGCTCTTTGCAGAAAGGCTGTCGAGCAATGCCCTGGTTCCCATAGCGTCGCCGAGTGCAAGAAGATTGAAGGAGGTTTCAACAGGGTCTTCCTGTTTACCATGGATGACGAACAGACTCTAATCGCGAGACTACCCTTTTCTGTTGCCGGCCCACCTCGATACGTTATTCTCTCAGAGGTTGCCACCATCGCTTACAGTAAGTTTTATCCTCATACTCCTCACTTTTCTCTTCCATTGGTTTTATTCTGATTGACGCGCGGCTCACTTTTCTTGTCCTGGAAAGTCAAATCCAAAACATCCATCCCGGTTCCGGACATCGTCTACTGGTGTGATACCAGCTCGAACCCGATAGGCACAGAGTATATTCTTATGAAACCCGTGCCTGGCGTCCAGCTTCACGGTCGATGGGAGACGATGACAAGCTCAGAACATCTCAGCTGCATCGAGTCCATTTCAGAGATGATGGCTCAGTTGACGGAGCTCGAGTTCCCTGCATATGGCAGTCTTTACTTTCCAGACGCTCCCATTGCTGGACATCTAAAAAGAGACTTTGCAAATGGTTTTTGTGTGGGGCCTCACTGTGGTTCTACCTACTGGAACTGTGCACCTGGAGAAGCTTCTATCTATCGCCAGAACGATGACCAGGGACCCTGTGAGTTTAACGGACAATAGTACATGCCATATCCTCTGACTCGGTTCCAGGGCCCGATCTCTCTAGCTACTGCAAAGGCTTGGTTGCATCTGCTCGCTCTCGCATTCCAGAGTCTGCACCAGAAGATCAACTGCCTTATCAGGGCTCGATCCAGGAACATGCCAGATTCGTGACAGAATGTGAGACTGTTCTTTACGAACTTATCGAGAAGCCCCTAGTGAAGGGCGTGGCAAAGCCAACTCTGCTGCATGCCGATCTGCACAAAAGAAACATCTTCGTTTCCGACAACGAGCCCACCAAAATCACTGGCATCATCGACTGGCAATCGACAAGCATCGAGCCAGCATTCATCTACGCCAACGAAACACCTGATTTTGCAACACTTGTCGACGATGTGCCCGGAACGGTAAAAGACTCACTCGATCAGGCAACGCGAAAGCAGAAGCAAGAGGACATCCAGGTGTGCGCCAAATTCTTCGAAGCATGGATGAAGGCCAACGCCCCAAACATCAGCAAAGTCCGCGCGATTAATGACACCATCCTGCGGCCTTTTCGCCATTGCAACACGTCATGGAGGGACAGCATTGCAGCTGTTAAAAGCGATCTTATCGACTTGGCAGGAGAGTGGAATGCGCTAGGGCTGGTAGGTTCGTGTCCCTATCAACCGACACAGGACGAACTTGCCATACACGAAAAGAATCGCGAAGATTTCGAGTCCGTTCTGAGTCTGAAGGCTTGGCTCATGCAGACTTTGGGCATAACTTCGGACGGCTGGATCCCTATAGATGAGTTCCCACTCATCTTGCCCGCCTATCGCGAAGCGTACGAGCAGTGGATCGAGATTGCCAGACAGGCCGAGGCCGCTGGCGACGCGGAAATGTCGGTGGGAAAGGCGGACAAGCTGTGGCCGTTCGATCAGCGGTAATTCGAGTATCACTCACTTAGTATCGTTATCTAGGTTCTTGCTTCACGGTGCTGTCTAAAATTGCTTCATGGTGCTATCTAAAACGCTAGCGCCGTACAATTGTGGAGGATGATCATGGCTAAGCGCCCCGGGGCACTTGTAGCTAGCTTTAGTAGTTGTTGGCGTTCGTCAATGTCTTTGTGATCGCCACGGCGTGTAATCCAGACTCTACACTGAAGATACGGCGCTACGCGCGGTTGTTTGTTTGTGGCACCAAATCCCATTGGTCGAGTAAAGACTAATACACGTATGCAGTGCCTTATGCTTATAAATTCCAGACATGCTCCGCCCGACTTTTCTGGTTGACGTTCCGTATTCTCGATCTCTGGATATTCCAAATCTAGGCAGTTTTCCACGCGACCGGCAATACTAGGAACCCAAACTGACTTTATATACGACAGAACACGTTATCGAGCCAGCTGTTCCACTCAGTGTCGGAATTTTCTTGCATGGACAACACAGGACTACTCTACAGAAAACGACAGCAGGAATGTGGCTATCATCGGATCTCCTGAGGATCTGTCGCTCCATCGCTTCTCCAGAATCCGACTCTCCAATTCCTATCACGCACTTAGAGGCATCTCGGACTTGTCATATCATCAGAACTTTGTCAGAATCTAGTGCTCAGCGAGCGCAGTCTGATCACTTCCCATTATTGCAATTGCCTCTGGACATTTTGACTATGCATCTGAGTACGCTTCTTCCACATGCGTCTCTGGTGTGTCTTCGTTCCAGCTGCTCGAAATTGCACACCGCAATTCCAGCGCCTCCGAAGAAGAGACTGGTTGATTTAGAGCGGTGTGAGATTAAAGTGCTATTCGCTGCTTTGGAGGAAGCACGAGAACGACCCTCGCGCATGTTCTGTGCACTCTGCTCGACTTGTTATCCGATCGAATTGTTCGCTTGGGGATTGGAGAAACGCGCGGTACAGAAGGCTGATATCGGCAATGAGGCGGCCGAGAGTCTAGAGACCATAGGCGCAAGGAACAGCAACGAACTTGACAATCGGGTCTGCAGATGGCATCGTGCAAGATTCGAACGGAAAGTCTTAACAGGTCATGGAGCGATAAAGTCAGAGTGGACACTGGAAGAAGCCTGCATGCATTGTGGAGGCGTACTTGCTTGGGGGAGATGTGATTGCAAGGCTTTGTGCCAGACTTGCTGGAAAAGGAGTGTTTGGTGCCATACAGAAGTTGTGGATACGGAGCATGCGAACGATGTTATCTAGCCAGAACACTCGTCGCCTCTAAGACTGCGGAACATGCATAAGTCGCATACGTCGTGATACATAAGGGAGTCCGTTCGCTTATGCGTCCTGGATCAAAGACTGAAACTTCCTTTTCTACGGGTCTATATAGTCAACAAGCACTCTTATCGTGCATTTGTCAGCAATGAACAAGCTTCATCTGCCAACCTCCACAACACCAAAGGTACTACCTTGTTCTTTACGGCTGAATACCATCTCGTTATATACCCAGGATCAGGACTAACGCCCTGTGCGAGAAGCTGTATAGGAGCAGCGGCATATCTTGTGCTCCATAACCAGACATGCAGGGAACGAGTATGCGATGTATTACTCTTTCTGCACCAACCTTATACCGAGCTAATCCAGGACAGAGAACAACGAAGTCTACAATGAGAAGATCTCTCTGGATGCAGTTCTGAATGGTCTTCTCGAAGAGAATGGCAGCTTACGGTTCGGGGAAGTTCTTGTCGCCAAAGGGTTGCTTGAACGAAGTGACTCCATGAACGGCAATGGGTACAGAAGAACTCAGCCATTGGCGATATGGCTTTAGGACGAGTTGTACGATTGCGACGAGGAAGATTCTGCCAGCTTCGAGGAATCAATACAAGGTTTCGCGACGTCCTCTCGCGATATGAGATCGGTCGCAGAAGAGGTCTACCGCACAGCCGGACCGATCATGTGCAGAGCCATGGATGCAAATGACATGTGAAGCTGGCAGAAAAAGAGAATCCCTTATCTGCTCTGGGATCTACCAGTACTATCATCTGTGCCGGTTCATGTAGCATCCTCCATATCCCGTGATTTCCTATTCAGTTTCACCTCTAGGACGTGAGACACAATGGTTGAGTTATCAAGATCCCGACTCGCAATCGAGAAGTGCGTGTAGCTTAAGTATTTTTACGTGCAAGAAGTCTTGCACGAAGAGAACAATGAGATGATCATCATTGTCTTAACGAAGACAGCCATCTGCAGCCAATCACCTCTCCATACGTTGCAATTCGCCGATTGACTAGAAACAAAGCGTCGTCGACGTTAATTCAATGCTGATTTGCAACATAAAGATTATATTGTTGTTTTATTCAAGAGGTTGTATGTCACTTAGAATGGTGAGTTGGAGAGGAGAGTACGGCGTAACTACACTACTAACAATGATAGTGGACAACAATGCAGATTCTCGCAAACAGCTGCCTATGTCCTAGCAAATACCGGAGCATTGGTCTTTTTGTGACCAAACCTGGGCCATGAAGCAAGTCCAAATGCAAGAGTGAATGCCATCCTGTTGAATGTGTTGATGCCTCCGGATTACGAGTCCGCGGGTTTTCCAGTACTCGAGGTTCGGCATTAACAAGCCCTTTATACTGGTCAAATTAAAGAGGTCATACCTATCGCGTGTCTCGATCAAATGATGGATAGCAAGGCACACGGTTCTCTCCTTAATCACAGTCTGAGTAGTGCAGCCATTGCCATTGCAAGAACACAGATGTCTACGATACTCGTGTCGCGTGGAGGGAGTAAGAGAGTTACTTCAGATGCCGCGTCGTCTACAAGAGTGCGAACCTGCAGCCTGCGATGAATAGCTTCGTCTAGACGAGGAAATTTGCACCGGTGGAAAAGGCAAGAGGTGTCTCGAACAGCGTGCGGCAGGTGTGATCCCGTCATCGAATGCAACACTCACTCGCAAGAATTCGAGGAACGTCTGCTTGTCGAGTCGTTTAGCCTGCATCAGAAGTCAGTTCTTGCTACGTCGCTCGCTCCTCTCATGCACTCTGGGAAGTACAACAGCCTCTTATAGAATGATGGCAACACGGTCATGTTCAAACTTACCACGCATGTCTGTGTGCTATGTGCACAGACCGCATCTTGGCGTCCATCAGCGTATAAACAACCTGAGCGAGACGCCCACGCGCAACCCGCTGCCCCTTCCGGGAAACTCGCGTTGAGCAACGTACACCCAAGAATGTATCGCATCTTTGCACCGTATCAAATTCATAACTTGTACTTGCGAAACGTCGTGCGCCATAGGCGGGCAGTCTCTGTCATGACGACTAACCTTCTAGATCCCTCGGTTCCTGTCGAAGAAGAAACTCTTCGTGACTACAAGGCAGAAAGGTTTTTTCCTGTCAGAATCGATCAAGCTTTCAACGATCGGTATCGAGTCATCAGTAAACTGGGATATGGATCGGCGTCAACTGTGTGGCTTTGCCGCGATCTTCTTGAAACCAATAAATATGTCGCTTTGAAAGTTTATGTTAACAGCTCGAAAGAACATCGTGAGCTTCCGGTCTACGAGCATATCCAAGCACTATCTTCCGATCACGATGGTCGTTACCGCATCAGGAGACTTCTTGACTCTTTCGAAGTTCAAGGTCCTCATGGCAGACATATTTGCCTTGTTCACGAACCACTTGGGATCAGCTTCGACGAATTGAGAGATTTCACAGCTGACAGAGTGTTCGACGAGGATTTGATACGGCAGACCTTTCGTCCCATATTGGAAGGATTCGATTTCTTGCACAGAGAAGCCAAGGTGATCCATACAGGTAGAGCGTCGAGGTGCTGAGTTGCAAAGCGTCGGCTTACAGAGCTTCAGACTTCCAACCCAACAATGTGCTCATAGGCATCCAGGACAATTCAGTGCTGGACGAGTTTGCGAAAATGGCAACTGAGAACCCTGCGCTAATGAAGGAACTCTCGAATCGTATCATCTATGTTTCTCAGCCGATGCCGTTGACCAAAGGACTGCCGTTCTTGTCCGATTTCAGCGAAGCTCGATTTGGAGCCTTTATGCAGAGTGGTCTCATCATGCCAAACGTGTATCGTGCGCCTGAAGTCATCTTAGACATGGAATGGAGTTATCCCGTGGACATTTGGAGCTTCGCAATGACTGTAAGTGCATCGTCTCGGAAGTCCTACATTGGAGCGGTCATTCGGAGTTCTGTGACGCAACAACTGATTCCTTGACCAGCTCTGGGATCTCTTCCAACCAAAAAAGCTTTTCAGTGCCAAGGGCGGTGATGGTCAATACTCTGAAAGCCACCATCTTGCTCAGATGGTGGCAATTCTAGGTAATTCACCTCTCGACTTTCTTGCGGCTTCCAAGAAGTCCGCCGAATACTGGGACCAGGATGGTAAGTCACACATGGGTCTCTATTGTGCAAACCAAGCGCTTCCTAACCTCTTCACCTAGGGAAATGGATCCATGAAGTCGCGATACCAAGGATAAGTCTCGACAGCTGTGAACAACGTCTTTCAGGTGCAGACAAGAAGAAGTTCCTAACGTTCATGAGAAAAATGCTTCATTGGAAACCAGAAGATCGTAGTGGTTGGCAGGACATATTCTTCGACGAATGGATGGTCGCTGACTTGATCGAATCTGGCGAGATAGTGAGGGACGACTGAAACAAACATCACCTTGCAATGACGACAATGGACATCAGTCTTGTCAGCGTACACCATTCAAATTATACTGTTCGGACGAGGCTATTACTCTCAACCCTGGACAACTGTTCAGACCTTGCATCTTCCCAACCACATTCCCTATGAATCGCTAGTTTCAGAATCGATTGGAAAGAGGAATTGAGGTGAACATCACTAGTAACCCGAGACATGATTCGGTGATAGCGGCGCCGCTAGAGAGGAGCCGGCGCGTAGTGAAACGCCAGCACTGCGTTACGACCCCGCGCATTCGACCTCTCCTCCAGTCTGATTAGATGGTCTGGCGCCTGGCCATGGCGCTAAATTCTCAGAGTTTCTATTTTTGGAAGGCACAAAGGTCACAGAAGCCTGATATGAAAGCGCAGCCCCTCTACATAACCAGTAAAATGTCTACTGCCCTTTATACCACAATCAAGCTCTCTCATCTCTCATCCACGGACTAGACATGTCTTCCGCAGGAACGCGGGTCTTCAGCACTGGTGGAACGAGGGCGTTGAGATGGGCGGGAGCGACCAAGAACGATAAATGTAATCAAGGCCATTGAAAAGCTGGAGGCCGAGGCTGAAAGAAAAGTATGTGAGCATTGCTTGAGTCCTATGCTGTGCAGTTTTGAGGCATACTAATACCTCGCAGTATGGCGACAAAGCTGCTGTCATTCGGATTCAGTAAGTGCTGACCACCTACGACCGCTACTTCAAGTTGACCCATGTATGGGGGCGCGAAGCTGCACGTGTCCACCAAGAATCCGAACGATAAGAAAGAGGTCGTCACGGTATCTGTCCACACCGAGAGCGGCACTCGTTTGGAGTCGGGCCATGCGCATGAAGATGGCACCACTACAAGTCACGTCACCCGAGCAGGCGGGAACAAGTAGAGCAAGCTGTCATTAGACCGACTGGGAAAGGAGCAAATCGAAGAACCAGTTGGCTAAGCTACAGAAGTCGAATAGCAAAAGGCTTAGACAGTAGCTGTATGTAGTGCAATGATTTCCGACGTGCTATTTACGGATAGGTGATGAGTTACAGGCAGGTAAAATGAGAGGGTATAGTTTGAAGAGGTACAACTCTTGCCATTCATCTGACCAAAAGAGTTTTCCAGAGTTCTTGCTACGGCATGCTAGGAACCTGTAAATAGCCCGGTAGCTAGATAGTTTCCCGGCAAAGCCCGCAGGGCCGAATGGAGTATGATTCATAAAAGAAAACTACGACGTGCTAGGGTCGCCCTGACAACTCCAGCTCTTGTACGATTGCTAGAGAAACCTAGTGCTTTGGATTACTGGCGTACGGTATGCTCCTATACACAATATAAGCTCTCTTCGAGGCTGGCCTGATCAGCCCGCAAGCGTGCGAGCGTGCCACTGAAACGAGTCCGAAGAGGCTAGATGTCCAAACACACTTCCTCTAGACAGAGAATCAAGAAAGTCGGCAGCTGGCTGGACCTTTAGGCCTGGCAGATGCCGGAGAGTGTGTTTGCATTTCCAGTCTGTTCTTTGATCTTTTCGGACGTGAGTAGCGGATCTACAAAAATCGCTTGGTCGGCGACGCCAAAAGATACTGGAAGAAACCAAAGATCGAGACGTCGCTATGCATCTGTACCGCATCTGTGCCCGCATCGCTAGAGCCTGGGTGCGGTGAACGTTGTCTGAATCGCGTCATGGATTATGAATGCGATCCAGATAACTGTGGCCTTGGAGACTTGTGCACAAATCGCGATTTCAATGGCTTGCGATTCGTCTGGAACGCACAAAGAACGCCGATCAGAGGTCAAAATGTGATCTGTCCAGTACCGGTGTCGAGCTGTTCAAGACTCCAGACCGGGGCTTCGGTGTTCGCGCTTGCACGCAATTCGAGCCGCGCCAGATCATCGTCGAACACACTGGGGAGAATATCACACCCAGTGAGGCTGGCAGGAGAATGGAAGAGGATTCCAAGGATAAGGCCCTGAGACTCGATATCGTGATCAGCTTTGGTCGTGCGCTCACATTCCCCCAGAACTTCTATCAAATGGACTTTGACCGAGGCATGATCCTCGATGCCACCAAAGGCTCTATCGCTCGTTTCGTCAACCATTCCTGCGAGCCCAACTGCAAGATGCTCAAAAGATTTGTCAAAGGTCAACCCCGAACGGCTTTGTTTGCAGGTGACTATGGCATTTTGACCGGCCAGGAGTTGACTTATGACTACGACTTCAAGTGAGTTCAAAGTCCATCTATGGTCGGCGTGCAACGACCTGACGGCTGTATAGTCCTTACTCCACTAAGGATGTCCAGGAGTGCCGTTGTGGTTCAAGCAACTGCCGAGGCATCCTAGGCCCGAGACTCAAAGATAACAAGAAGCCGGTAAACAAGACAGGAAAGGGACGAGTGGCTCATGGCAAAAAGCGCAAGATTGGCGGGCCAGCAAGCACTGCTCTTGCAGCCAAAGTGGTTAAGGAGCTTTCTCAGAAGCGCAAGGTTTCACCAATGCCCAAGGGTTGGGTGTATGTTGTTGAGGGTATGGAGAAGATCAGGATCGAAGAAGCTCGCAAGGACAAGGAGATCGCATGGCTACAGAAGGAGGGTATTTTGCCTGCAACTTTCCGAATCAAGGAACTCAAACCTAGGACTCGCTCATCCGAGAACGAAGGAAGCATGCGGTCTCGTGGAACAACCAACAACGAAACGACTGCACACAGAACGAGAATTAGACGGAAGGCCCTCAACAGAAATTCTTGAAGGTCAGATGATGGTCATACATTAAGAACAAGAAGATGACCGCTTAAGTTCAGGTGTTCATCGCATCCAAGTTTTACTATAGAAGAGGGTCTCATGGAAACGGTGCAAACACCTTTTCCATCCACTATCGATATACAATGAATCCTTCTTCTTGAAAAGTTCGATAAAGTGTGGGATTCGGAAGAGGCCAATTCCTGGAGCTATCTTTGTTGCAATTTGGTGAAGGTGGAGGTGTCTGAGGAGAGACCGGACGTGGCCCCTTACGTGAGTCGGCTGGTTTCCGCAGTGCCTGTGGATGATTTTGTCAGTGCCTACGTAAGATGCAAGACGTTCTGATCACAAACGTACCATTGGTGATGTTGTGGTTTGCTCACAAGTAGACTGTGGCGATGTACCCTGGAGTGTCGATGCAGATCTAGGTAACACCCACGATTCGCGACAAGGCAAACATTGGTCTTCGCTTGAAGGCGGTCGCTGAGGTTGGCTAGTCTCCTTAGAAGAAACGAATTCGTACAAAGTTTGTAGCGATGAACTTTGCGAGACATCTTCGTCATGGGCTAGTTTGCCTCCATCACTCACGCCATCGATGCTCGAATAGTCATTGGTGGCGACGAACTTGGAGTAGCCTCTCGTTTGAAGACAGTGACCAGATCCATTATCTATATTCCTTCCAGATAGCAGCGGAGTCAATGCACCTTTGGTGGAAATACCTCCCAAGCGGCTGCGAACCTCAGACGCTGTAGATGGGATCAGAGGTAGACCCCTGGTTGGTGGAGATGAGGCTGCGGATACAAATAGTGTTGGGCTAGACGGTCTGCTGGGAAAGTTGTATAGACGAAGACCTGGCTCCTCTTTCAGGTGTAAAGATGCTGTTCCATTCGAGTTTTGTGCTTTTCGTTTGACATCTTCTCGCGATCTTCTTGGGAATATGCGAAGTCCTTTTCTGAGGATCTTGACGATACGTGAATCGGTTTGGAGTATGCTGCGAGCGGTAGGCTCAGAAGCATGATCTTGGTTGGTGGTCATTGGGCCTTTCGATGCCTGCACAGACTCAGGCATCTACGAATGGAAATGGACGGCTTGCGACTCATGTCAGTTGAAACGAGAAGACAAAAGGAATGCTTAGGGAAGAGGTAGGGAAGTAAAGTCCACAAGATCCAGCTTCGGCAGGATTTATGGTGAAAGGAGATGAAAGAGAATAATGGGCCAACAGGATTACATCAATCGATCTTATCTCCATGTCTCTGATACCATCGGTCTATGCTAGTCGGTATTGAACAGTCATCATTATGCAGCCAATACTCCTCAACCGGAACAGCCTTCTGATATAGTGAGATCGACATCTTCCATCCTAGATCGAGAAAGAGTGCAGCACACAGTGGTCCAGGAGAATCTGTACAGGCGCCACAGCAAGTTTGTACCTCTTTCGCCTTGGAGAATATCCAATCAGCAGATATGCTAGGCGAAGAGTTCCGAGCGCTACAAAGCCAGAAGCAGCTCATATCCATGATCAATATCATGTACATGAGCGTTCCTTCACACTGTGTTTGGAGTCCCGGCAGCACTTGCCTCACATGCGCATAAACTTACAAGCAGGAGAATACTGTCGATAGGGTCTGTACTCTGGATATAATGCTAGCTCACGATTTTCCATAAAAAGCTCGGCCTTGGATAACGCAACAAAAATCAGGCTGGGGGCGCTCTGGCTGTAAGTCAAGCGAACTACAAGTAAGGAGGCCTTGGACCAGGTACTGAAACAGCCTTCCAACACTCGACTGCCTGCACACTCATGCACTGAGCTGATCTCCTTGCATTAGTCCGCGGTCACCTTGGCAGCTTGCTTGCGTCCGCTCACGATCATCAGCTAATCTTGCGGGAAATTTCGCTTTCAGACTAGCTTATAGGACTTCGCTAGCCATGCAGGATATGCTGGAGCTGCCCTGAAACATCAAGGAACAACGTGATGTAGCATGCGATTATTGTCATTCTTATCTTGGAATTCCGAGCAAGGTCTTGCATCATGCTGCCTCTTTCTGGTATCTAGTCCTACTGATCTTCTGGGACGACTTACGCGAGACTCATGAAACGCTCTTCCCGCCAGGCGTCAAACTATTGACAGGCAGATCGTCCACATCAGAGCAAGTGTATGCTCAACGGCATCAATGCCGTAATCTCGGCTGCATAATATATCACTTTAACATCTCATGATGTGACATGTTCTTAGAGTCTCTAGTCACACTGTCCGCCTTCAATCATTGGTTCTGACGGAATGTGATTGATCTACGCAAGCTTCCGCCCGTAACGATTCATGCCTGTCAGCTGTAGCTCTCGATATCCCCCTCTTCTATCTTCCTCTCCTCGGCAAATCCTTCTGATGCACCTTGCCTCCTGTGCATACTCAAGCATCTGCATGTGTTTGCTTGCGGGCGACTTTGGGCGTTCATCACACTAGCTACTCTATTCAACTACGCGTCGGGGAAGGTAGAGATGACGCCGATATCGTGCGCGTGACGATTGTCAGCACAAACTCCGTGTGTCCTGTATCCAAATCTTTGCTTTGGACGAGACTTTGTATCGCTCCCCCAACCTTTCCTGATGTCTTGCGTAGAAGATTTCTTATGCTCTTCCTGTTGTCGACTTCCCCGCCCATTGATCATACACAACTTCTCAAAGCGTTTCTGCGGGTGTAATGCCTGCCTCCTTTGAAATTGGTGCTTCCCTTGAGTCATTGACATCATTCTGTACAACGCGAGAAACTACGCTGTGGGTATAATGCATCGAGTGGGGATGTTTCCAGAAGCTAGCCTGCGCCGGAGTGCCTTGCGATGTTCGATGCTCATGAGACCACCGGTATGAGCAGTCAATGATCGAGACATCTGGTTATCAAGGTCAGACTCCGAGCCAGAACTCCATCAACCCCGACATGAGAGTTTCTGATGGCTATCCAGCATGCAAAGCATTTTCTTGAGACTTGATTTATGTCGAAAACGTGCCATAGCAAAGTCGAGATCTGATAGCACATAATCAGGGATGTGGTTCGAAGTTCAGCTCCCTATGGTATAACCCTGGTCTGGAAATCGGATTATAGAGCTCTTGAATATAGATCCATATCATTCTTCGGTGCTAGCAGTATACAGCGAATACAAGATACTTCCACAACACATGACGTACTGAGCGTTTTGGAGCATACAATATACTAACTTTGGAATGGGAAAAACTGCACTGCTCATAAACATGCTTTCACTGGCAACACACCTCGATTGATCTTTGCTAACATCCCTGACATGTTCCATCCGCTCAGAGGTCTCGTATGGTTTTCAGTATCAGACGACTGTGCCGAGAAACAGCAGCAGATGGAATGCGCCTTGAACACCGCATATTGGAGCGACAGGTCCACTCTAGTGACCATTACCACAAGCTACTGCTTTGCTAACATACTGGAGTTCTCCAAGAGATCTACTCCGGCAGTACAATATCAATAATGATACTAGATAGACCGAACAACAAAGCTGTACTGAGCAACAACTTGGCATTAGGCCGCGATTGACGAATTGGTAAGAGTGAAATGTATACTAGCACCGTCAGACATGCCAATATAATCAAGCACATTCTGACGATAGATAGACGTCGATATATCTCTATCTCGAATCTGAAACCTTGACTGATGCTTGTTGGAAGGATAGTCGCAAAGTGGGCGAGGTTTCTGAGTTCCAAGCATATGTATTGTGTGCCGACTATCAGACTTGTCGGCAAGTGCTCGATAAGCTCTTTCGAAGCCACGTCAGCCGCAGTAGATGTCAGATCATATATATTTCCGATAGCAGAGGAAGCAGCAGAGATTATTGTATCTATCTGAGAAGCTCCAGACGCGATCAGACTGCTAGCGAGAGACGTAGGTCTTGATACTTTGCTTCGAGGAGCATGTAGCGCACTTTGCTGCGTTACTTCAAAGCTGTTAGTCTAGAGAGACCGGTCAACGACGTCTATCTCGGAGTAGACTCTACATAGTACGTACAGTGGCCGTCAAGAAGCATGACACTTTCAGATTCTCTGACGAGAAAAGCATTACCAAACACGCGAGCAAAGCGGAGAGAAAGCCAACGAAAAACGAACGAAGCTTCCGAAGAGTCCGTCTTCTGTTCTTTGCCGTTCTTTCGACGGACTTGTGATAGTTGGAGGACTGACTCGCTCTCATCGTGAATATATGCGACAGCAGGGAGCAGTCACCAGAGATAGGCTGGCATCTTAACGTGCTGGTATAAACCAATGTCACCTCATACTTATGTTATACAATCCTTAGATCGACTTTATGAATGTTGTCAGTTTTTAGCTCGCAGCACAAGCTAATCGTGAGCCTGGCCAATAAGTCAACAGCAGAAGAATATGTGAGCCGCCTAAGGACTATATCATACCGGTCTTTGGAACTATAGTGCGAACGAGCGAGTCTATCAGGCTCTTGAAGATAGAGAAGCATATACGGTCACCAGAGACCTTTGTAAACTGCGCTTACAGGACAAGGCAACGACTCTTGTGAGAGACCTTTAACAATATGAATTATCTTGACGACTGTTCCGCATCTTTGCTGTATGTCCATTACGAGTTGCTTATCTCCGTGCTATGTTCTCGCTCTATTCCCGCTGTGTTCTCGCTATCTCTTTGCTACTTTTCACACATACCTAGCACCTAGCTCATTAAGAGATCTGAGACTGAGATCGTTTCGCATTCCAAGATCCTGAGGACATCCACTATGATAGTAGGCATGAACATATTGCGGCACTACCTTAGGTCGAGCGTTCCAGACCTCATCTGAAATCAATGGTGACGCGTCTTATTCAGATCGACATCCAAGGACGAGCGATCTGCATGTGCTAGATCAGGTGGGCAGCAAGCGAGGTCACCCGTGATACACACGGCTGTGACTACGTAAGCAATCAAGTCAGTGTGCTCTGTGCTATTGACATAGAAGTCTTCAGTCACTTCTGTATTAGCTTATACGACACAGAATACACCGAAAGTCAGAGATCTTGTAATGGAGCAAGACCGGTGCCCAGATAAGACAATGAGTCAGGATAATGCTTAGAAACGTAAGCACCTTGCTGTTATGATTACAATACATGAATTAGGCGATGACCTCGGGATCCCGCAATGTGAGCAATGTATGATGGTATTTTGTTGTCCGTCTAGCTCATACTAGACTGATCTGCCATCATAAACCTACGGACCTTGTCTCCTTTTCAAGACACCGATCACTCGTTCTTATGGCTTAGAATTTTTCAATCATGATCGTGTTATTGTTTGTACATGTGACTTACCAAGCTCTGATGAGTACGTGCCAGGCATTAGGCGATACCAGTGTCTCTTTACGCACTGAGCTTACGTGCGAGCAGATCTTACGCCGAATATCGAAACGATAAGTAGGTCCTGGCTCTAATGCACAGAGATTGTAGACGCAGGCATGTCGGTGAGACTGTTGGATCTTCCATCTGAGCTTCTTGTTGACATAGCGAAACTTTTGCCTCCAATCCAGCGGTCACGGACCTTGCCGTCTCTGTGTAAAGCGATGTATGAGGTGGAGCTCATGTCATGGAGTTGCCAGACTTCGAAGACTTGTACGGTCATAGGTCGTCGGGCGAAAGAGGCATGTGTTGAAAGATTTTCATCGCTGCAGGAGGCCGTTCGTCAGGCCATCATTCGAAATTCAGACTCGATCATGGTCAGGAACATCTACATCAGTAGTGTCTTTAGCATCATGGCTCATACGATCCTTGCAAAAGCTACTGGCCTAGCAGATAGCGAGCACAGGAAAACGCAACATCTACTGCAAGCGCTGACATTGCTGTCTGACCAGGCAATCGGTGTGGTTCCTTCAGAGCGTGGCATCGGCAGCATCATTGCTCGAAAGCGCATCTTGCCTCGCACTGCTCTAGAGTACGGTTGGAGGGATCATCACGAGGTGGATAGACTCAGGATCATGAAGATATTTGTCGAAAAAATAATTGCATGCGATGTCAATCACCCGCCCCACAAACGCTTTGAATTGAGTTTCTATCAAGAGAGACACCCTGAGCTGCCAGGCCGGGTGGACGATGTCAGGGAAGAAGTCCGCCACATCTGAGCTGCTAGGAGCGAGATTCTCGGCATGGGCCGAAGCGAGCCAGGGCGTCGCTTCCTGCTTGATCTTGGGGCAATTATGAACAACTAGCTGATTACAATGGTCCGTGCATGCTTCTGCCTCTGCCTCTGCAAGTGCGCAAACCATCGAGCTGCCATCTCAAATAGTGTGGCAATAGTCGCTCCGGGGCGCATCTTTCTAGACCGAAGCGATCCAGGCTGTCGAACTTCTCGAGCTGTACATGCTCGACGCCAGCCATCTGAACAGCTGTTGAGCCAATGCTTGTGCTCCGCCGCACTGCATACGGTCGCCGATGCGCGTGTCCATCCACTGTCGCTCACATTGCGCCTAGAGCTTCCAACCCCGATCCCCTTGTCCGTCCACTCCTCGAGCTCTGTCGGGTCGTTCTGAGCGGTCGCACGAAGCACAGGATCTCTAGCGATGGCACTGTGCCTACCAAACAGTTCCTTGATGGCTGACGGAGCGTGGGTGACGGGACCGTGAAAGAGCGGGAGATATACAATACAACCATGGTGACGATCATCGACTCTCGAGCCGAAAAAATGATGGTCTATACCGTGCTGGCACCTGAAGGGAGCGAAAACGTACGAGTGAGACCACTCTCGACGATACTTCAATGATGGACTTGAATATGCTGCCCATCCTGGTCACATCGAAATTCCTCGCACCGCAATCAAAGCTTACGTGTCGAACACTAAAAGACATACCGACCTTGATGTCTCTGGCCCGATGGCCAAAGAGCATGAGCGCTGTCTTTCTATCAAACAGTATAACCAAGGTCAAGAAGAGTTGTGTCGAACTACACTGGCTTGCCGCGGAACGCCATGGGATGTCCAGCAAGGTCTTGCTGATCTGGCCTCAGCTCTAGCCTTTGTTCTCCTTGACCGCCCATATCACCTCACACCCGACCTAGGAGCAGCTCAGCCCCTTGAACTGCTGTCGGAATCTCGAGCGCGCAGGATCACTCACCCGCCGCTGTCAGGAGATGGAGACCAGAAAAGACCCGATGGGATGTCGTAGATCACTCTTTCGACCGTCTCCAATCGTCTACAGGATTTCCAATCCATGGTCTGTTCCAATCTCCACAATGGACATTGATAGCGGTCCACAGTAGAGGTCAGCCACTCAGTAAGCTTCACTCGCAGTCCAAGGCCTGCCAGCTTCGAATGCACGGTTCCTTGGGTCTGTCCCTCGCATGACTGCAGACGCCTTCCAGGACTCCAGTTGCGCCTCTATACTCTCCTCAGACTTGAGCAATGTGTCTCTAGACGAGTCGCCGTCGTTGCCCAGAACTCGACCAAAAGCATGCATCTTCAACGTGTTGTCCATATTCTCGGTGATTTGCCTGATGGTGTTGTAGCTGGCGTATTGTTCTTCTCCTCCAAAGCACAATCCATAGCTATCGCAGTAGCAGACACTCTGCAATGGACAGTACTCGTATCTCTGACCCCAAATGTACTGCCACGTATACTCGAACACCCGGCCAGACAGCCCGTCATCTAGGGTTGTTTCCAGCAGCCAGTCCCGCAGGTCGACGTAACGTTGCCTGGGCAGCGCGAGAATTGCTTCCCGAGACACGGCCATCTGGGCACAGCACGGTTGCGCCACGCTGTCCGGCACGACCTCGCCTGGAAAGAGCTCAGTCCATGCAAGTCCCATTACAGCGATCTCAGGATATTCCGGATCGAGGATCGGCTCGTGAGGAAAGATGTGTGATGGACATCCAGGATCGTGATGACAGCGTAGATTGACGTAGCGATTGCGGATCACATAATCAGAGATGAGTCGTCGGACCATCTCGACCATGTCTCTGTTCAACTGGTCGTTGTTGTGCCATGAGAATTGATGTGCATGTACGAACAAGGTTATCTCGCTCAGGTCGTCGTACTCGTCGATGATATACGTCAGATACACCATCGCTTCGTGGCCTTTGTTCGTTGGTACAGAGAACTTTGATGAGGCATCGTCGACGACATAGACGCGCGCGGACAGGCCGGGTTCGCTTCCGAGTTGTGTCTCCACCCAGGTAGTATCTTGTTCCGCGGTGGACGCGACAACTAAACATCTGGAGGGAGGCATATCAGAGTCCTTCACCGTGGACACGTTCCAGCCCTTGCCTCGAAGAGAGGTCGCTAGCGCGGAAATATGTGAATGGTCGCCACGAAGGAAGAAAAACAGATACAGAAAGACTGCGAAGCAGCAGAGGCAGACAGCAACCGAGATACGACGTTGAACGTGTAAAGTCATCCTCAAGAGGGCTCAACCACCGTATCTTGCACGGTTGACGTCGAGCAGTGATGGACTAATCCTGCGGTCCTGGACGATTGGAGGACGAAAGATCAGGCTACACATGTGTGACCCAAGCAATCTAGTGTAGAAGAAGAGTTGGACAAGCCGTACAAGCGTGCAAATCTTATGTATTGGGTCTCCATGAACTAAGAACGTCGGAGATCATAGTATCTCTATCGAACATGCACACAAAACCTGACTGGAAGCATTCATCGTACTATACTGTGTTGAGCCAGACGTGCCGAGGTCGAGACAACGATGCGCTGACTGTGCGATCTTGACTTCCGCGTCCTGGCGCTGCGATAGGATATTTCCTGACATGGCATCCAATTACAGACATCTGATGCAAACTGCTAGCAAAGTGACAGCGCGCTTGCTGACAAGATGCACCTTAGTAATGGAATGCTATGAGTGGGATCTCCAACTGTAACGAAGGTATCTTTACCGTCTGCTTCCCATTCGGGCTTAGAGTAGTTTACGGTTCATAAGCGAATTCGCGCCGGTTTCCTTACGCATATCATACCTCTGTGATGTGATATTGAGCCACGCGATATGTATCGACCTTGATGCACTTTCACACACACTACATCTGAGTGTTGTCCTGGTAAGGTGTGCTCATGATTCCGCCGACCCATTGATCGATGCGTGATTGACCAGGCCATTGATCGGGTAAATCTTGTCAGCGCTCACCAGCTTTTATTCCGACGTTAGGCTACCAGTAGGCTACGGCGGAGATAGTTCCGCCACAAACCACCGCCTACGTGCTGGCCACTCGACACACCATGCTCTCTGCATACAACTTTGCTGCAACGATCATAGTTTCGCGAGCTGGAGGTGAGCTCCTGTCAAATCAACAAGGATTTTCATCGAGGAGACAATGGAACGAGATAGTGAAAAGAGGAATTAGGAAAGCCCGCACTGACCATCAGAGCTGTGATGTGTACGAATCCATGCGACACGCGGAACAAAAACATAACAAACTTGACACATCAGTCAGAATGCAGTGTTCATTATACATGTCGCGCCGGCTCGAGACGAAATCTGGGTCTCGCACCTTAGTGACTTCCCAATGAGCATGAGCATCACAATAATTTCAGCGGAAAGACAAGAAACCTCTCTCACATTATGCTCCACCTATTCACGAAGCCTGGCGTGATGCTGCGAGTGTAACCGTCACGAATGCCGATGAGAATGACAACTCATGGTGAACAGCCCGTGTGAGATTTCGTTCTTGCGCCGAGAAAAGGCCCGTCACGTGGTCCTCTCACGAGCTGATACAACAGTCAGTGTTCTGCATTTGCTAAATAGAATATCAATGGCATATCTGTAGAGTCTTTCATGCAGTGAGATCAAATCGTACCATAGGCCTGGATGCCTGTGAAGAGATCTTATCTCTAAACCACAGATTATGCAACATACTTCGAGATGCCATGGTGTAGCAAACGGATGGACGGATGCCGGTAAATGGGTAGATCGCAACTCTGACATTGTTCTGCTCATCTTCACCTTGGGAAGCTCTAACTTGTCACAATCACATAATACCATGTCCAGAAACTGTCGCAATTCATCAGTGGTATATATGTTGCCATAAATGCTTCTACATACTCTGGACCTTCCACTGAAGCGCAAACCGCCATGGAGGACAAGTGGATGATCGGACGAGGGGAAAGACGGTCAATAATCACCTTGGTAAGGGACAGTGCATGGAGCGCTCCTTCAACCGTTTTACAGTCTCCAAAAATCGAGGAAGCATACCCAGTGGAGTTCAACGCAGCAATCTGGACGGATAACGGGTGGACAGTACATCTGGGCGAAACACTTTCGCAGCCACAGATTCCTTCGATGACCCAGTCACGTTTGGTACAATGTGCTCACCTGTTCAGTGATGCAGTGATCTTCCTGGCGACAGATCTGTCCTCAGCGAGCGAAATGTTTCTAGCGTGGTTGGCATGTTGCCTGCCACCTCAAAAGACTCGGCTGTTCAAACCCGCTGCGAGAATAGTCATCCAGAAGTCATCAGCAAGTGTTGAGAACTTTATAGGAGAATGCGCAACTCGACAGGAAGCTGGTACCCTTACGTCTGGAGAATTGGAGACTGGTTTCTTCGAGAACATACAAATAAAGCAAGTCAAGCCTGTCATGTGGAACACATACGACCTACCGAATATGGCCGTGAAGAACATCGCATGGAAACATATTCGCGATAGCCACAAAAGTGTGCGACGGCTTAGATCGAGCCACGGTAGCCTGTGGAATTCTTCTGACTTTTGTCGTTTGGCATCGGCCTGGGAAGCGAGCCGTTCTATACCTGATGATGTCGCTTTGCTGACTGAGCCGTGGCCTCTGGGCAGGTTTTCGCTCCCAAAAGTGCTATCGAGCACCAGCGATGACATCATGCGAAGCAGCAGCCAAGACTTTGAGGCGATACTGAGCCACAGGGCCGCTCTCGTTGGTAGCTACTTGACGCGACATTCGTTCCGATCTCGGCACTGGACTGTGCCTGGTGATTCTTCCCTTTCAAACATGTTCGCAGAAAATCAGTTCAGGCTGCGATATCAGTCTATCGCAGAGACGGTCGCGCATGATCTTCTCAAAGAATTCAACCGGTCTATCTCTGCAGCACCAAGTAAGCATTACTCTCCAGAGACCGTCGTAGATACGATCAAGAGGTGTTGGCTGGAACAAACAAAGACCGCATACCGAACATGTGAAAGTGTTCTCGAATCGGCACAACTCCATGTCAAGAACCTCCATCAACACCGCGAGTACCTTGCCAGATTGCGATACGGAGGTAATTGTTCGGCTTGTCTACTGGAACCTTGGACGCACACTTTACCTTGCAAACACGGGCTCTGTACCCTGTGCTTGCGGGCTTGCGATGGCAAGGAGACGGACGGATGCCGTATAATTGTAAACGAGTGTCCTGTTTGTGAGCTGAGCGTCGGATCTAGATGCATCCGAAAATTTATCCCACCGACTGCAACATTGCGCGTCCTGGCCCTTGACGGTGGCGGCGTCAAAGGCTTGGTACAACTGCAGGTTCTCCAATTTCTGTGTGACGAGATCGGGCTACGTGACACCGTGCACATATCTACCTTTTTCGACCTCATGGTTGGCAGCAGTATAGGTAAGGAGAGCATGTCCTCTGTTATCGTCCACAAAATGTGTGTCTGACAACTATCAGGTGGTATCTGTGCGTTAGGTCTTGGGACCAGAAAATGGTCGCTAGAGGAGTGCAGAATGAAGTTTCTCAAGTTCAGCGAGCAGATCTTCGCTCCGAAAAGCTGTTTCGGCAGACTGCTGTCTCGTATCACTGGTGGCTGGTTTGCTATACTATCTAACGTAGCCAAACTCATATTCTTCGATAGCATATACGACTCGGCTCCAATTGAGACGATACTCCAGGAAAGCTTTGGCGAAGCCTCACTCATGATACAAAGTGATCTGGAACACCCGACCAAAGTTGCTGTCGTTGTCAATCAAGCATCCACCTCCGGACCAACGGTGTTTGCCAACTATAACAAGTCGCGTCATAGTAAGAATGGAGCTTACATGTGGCCAGCGATGGATAGTCTTTACCGGTCGCTCAAGATATGGGAAGTGTAAGTCCACGTTGGGCGCGTTCTTCATCAATTCTGTACTCATCGACATGTCTAGAGCTCGCGCGACATCGGCCGCACCAGGGTACGCATAACGATTTCTCCATGGCTAGACCATCATCGTTGATCTTATTAACTTGGTTATGACAGGTTCTGGGATACCATCACACTGCTTGGTAGCGCATACCAAGATGGCGGACTGAGCCACAATAATCCATCTGCCATTGCGATCAGCGAGGCCAACGTGCTGGCGTCATCCCGCAATGCTGACTCTTTAATCGTATCAGTAGGTTGCGGACGTCTCTTCACAGCACCTCTATCTAAGATGTCAGTGTTTCGACGATATATCAAGGTGTTCGAAGAGACTCTAGACGCGGAAAGACAGCACGAAGTGGTAGCAATGCTGACGCCGGAGAGGTCCGGAAGCCTGGTGCGACTAAATCCAAGATTAGACATGGAGGAGGTGTCGTTAGACGAACAGTCGTCGATATCTTCACTCGACGATGCTGTCCAATCGATGCTGATCTCAGGTTCTAGTGCAGCCAAGATGTTCTCAGACGAGTGCAAAGCAGCAGCCAGGCGACTCATCGCTTCCCTCTTTTATTTTGAGCTAGGTCATAAGATGGTGAGAAGGGAGGCGACAGATCAAAACCAGCAGACCGGCGTGATCAAAACACGTTTGACCAAAGATGAATTCAAAGCATTCAAACAAGGATATCCCGAAGTAAAGTTCAGGGTCAAGGACTTGATGTTTGACACTTCTATCTCGACGGAAGTCAAGCTATGGAGCTCCAGTAGGGACACACAGTTCAAGGTCGAGCTCGTGCATCCGTCTTGGACGCAGCAAATCAGCGGATCTCCTTTCACGATCGCGCAGCTACGAGAAGCCCAAGCCGACTATCTGCCAGTAGTTCTTCGCAATGGACGTAAACGTAAGAGAGGTTGAGCGATCGCCATGAATCTGCTGATCTACATGATCTGATCCTTGTTCTGGTTGGATCTATAGTCATCACACACACATATACTGAACTTTGATCAACATGTGTTGCATTTTCGAAACTCATATCATAACATATACTTTCCCAACTGCTCCTGCACTCATGCTCGCGGTGTCTCGGCCGCCCTTGATGTATATACTGGGGTCTTTCTTCGCATCCCAAATACATAATCACAGTTGCATGTTGAATGTGTGAGATTTTCCCAATTGCCATACTCTCTGATGCCATAGTTCTAGTGAGCGTAAAGGGATGAGTCAGCCGATGTCGATTCACAGAGGATGACCGTAATGCTTTATGTGATATCGACAACCTTCTACATGGATATATATGTACTGTCTCGCAGTAACCTTTATTTTCACAAGTGGTGAAAAATCTCACCTGCACCTAGGAACCACCAGGAGGACTCGTTTGATGGGCGGTAGTCCTCATGTCTGGAGAGTAACAGAGAAGATAAGCGGCGCTCTCCTGTTGCTCACGTCCATAGTGCGAGATCCTCGTTCGAGAGACGACTGCCTCAATGTCTGCAGAGCACAAGAGAAGATGAGAGGAGCAGTCCGGAACTTGAAGTCGATAGTGCGTCACATCAAAAAGAGACCGAACCCATGTGTTGCAGGCTTTGACTTCAGTCGCCTGATAAATGCGGCAAAAGAGAGTCTGGAAATGATGGAAGCGATTCCGAGGGAAGGACTCGAGGTTCAAAAGGAAGCAGTCAAACTGCATTATTACATACATGAAGCAAAGAAGTACATAACAGAGGGATCCGAAGAAGATGAACCATCTAAGTGGACGGAGGAGTCCTCGCAAGACCTGACATGCTGTATCGAGGATGCAAGAATATTGATCTCAGAAGTCTCGCAAACAATTGTTAAGGAGAGGCACAAGGGAGGAATATATGCTTTAGGGTTTTACAGTAAGGTATGGTGATAGTGATGGTCAGGGATATTGTTCGACTTCAACTACAATGATGTTGATTCTTGCACGAACCTAGGCTTGGCAAATCAGAGTTCCACCTCTGATCTAGTCTGACAGAAAGGATCGATGCTTGCAAACTGAACGTCACTCTCTGAATCAGGCACAGTTCCCTGCTCAGCCTGTTTCCTAGATTCAATAGGGTCAGTTAAAAAGTTGTCTTGACGCGTGGAGGCGGGCTCCACGTCGAGTGCTTGTTGTTGGTGGTCATGTGCTCTGCAGATCTTACCATTTGCAGGGACTGTAGAAGATTGTATCGACACATCTGGCGAGATGGAGTCGGGACTGACTATGCCTTGAGAGGTGCTGGGAGCCAGGCTACAGGTCGTACTATTCAATTCATCCTCCTTTGCAGGAGCAACGAATATGTGTTCGTCTTCCACGCTCCTTGTATCGGGCAGACGAGTTTCTCCTATGAACACTATATTGTCACTGTCAACGAGAGATCGCGCACCCTGTTCCAATCCACTGTCCTCGGTACCACGGCTCAATCGAGCTCCATCCATACCAGACGATGTTCTGCCATCGTGCTGACTGATAACCAGGGAATGCTGAAGTTGTGTACTTGCAAATTGTGTCCCACTCGCGATACAGGAGACTGGCTTCCCTCAATCAGATGGAGCGGTACCGCGATATCTACCTCTTCGATGTCGCCACCGGTCGGCATGATTATACTGTCTTGACCAACAGGTTCAATTGATTGAGCAGATCTACCATACATGGAAGCCCGGCTTATGATATTGCTCATTCGGTAAGGGTGCATGGGTCTGGTCCTGGCCTCTTCGTTGAGCTTTTCAGGTGTGACCTGTCCTCACGATACTGGTCCTAGATGACGACTGTCGCTATCAATGTGATTTCCCGCCTTATGCCCTTCCTACTTATTGTGCGTGGTGACATTAAGAGTTGTCTAGGCTTTTCTTTATCATGCAGCTGCTCCATGGTACCTGGTCGCTTCGCAACCTCTAAGGAAGCGGACTCTTGTGCAGTAAGAGTGGGCAGAAACGCGGAGGCGGAGATTTCTTCTCTGCTAGGATATTGTGGAGCCCCATCGCTTAGAGTGAACGTGGAACCATCCTCGTATCTTCCATTGAATCTGGTCTCTGGATGGCGTAATCCAGAACGTACTTCCTTCCGTGCAACATCGATGATGTACCGATTCATCTGTTTAGCCACCTTGTGCTCTTGGACTCTAGATCGCCAAACGCTTTTGATAGACTCTAGGTCACTCTCATTGAGGTTCGCAGCATTGTCTGTATCATCATTGGGTTCGGATGCATGATCTTCCTGAACACCGGAGGGCTGATCATCAGAAGTAGGAGAATCTGCCATCTGGACATCGGCCACACTCGCGATCCTCTCATCCTCACCATAATGTAGATCCGGATTATGATCATTCCCAGTGCGCTCTAGAGGCACTGTCAATCTTGAGGCTTTCATTTTGGTGCCCTGATGCCTCACAGTCTCCTCCTCTCTTGGCCTCTTCTCACCGCATCTTCTCTCTGGTGGTAGTGATGAAGGCTGCTCCGGACTCCTCTCTTTCGTTGGGACATCAGTAGCGCTCATTTGGTAGCCCTGGTACGTTCCAAGGGAGACTGGGCGATGTTCTGTTGATACGTTGAGACTTGCGGATGCGAGGCAGGCCTCTCAGTAGGGAAAGTAGTTACCGTCTGACCACAGTGCGCTGCGGGAGATCGCTGACATCGCGAAAACACTGCGCTGTTTGCTTCAGGCTTGTCACTGCTTCCTTTGAACTCGGTAGCTCCAAAACGATGGCGTCGACCTGGAACTTGACTCCTGCTAGAGTGATTGCTTGTTGATCTTGGAACGACTGAGTCTTCTCATCCATTCTACGTTGCGTCTGCGTGTGATCAACAGCGTTTGCTGCATCTGTTTCCAACCAGTCAGTAGATGTCGCATCGCAAACAATGTCTAAACCACAGACTTGTGAGATCCCTTCTCTGATATTTGCCTGGATCGTATCAGCCTCATCCCGCATGTTGGACGAGATACTTTCTGATTGTGTTTCGGGACTACCATCCTTCCGTGACTCGAAGCCTCTCCGAAGATCTCGCACTTCCTGCTCCAGCCTCATCGCATGCTTTTGCATGTCTGAAAATTTCCCGAGGATATCGGTTTTGAGCTGCAAACATCCTCCAGCCCACTCTACTTAGCAGGTATCACCTTAAGTCACAGACTTTGTCAACATTTTGCATCTGACTCTGAGCCATCTGGGCCGAGTTCTCCCTCCATTTCCTCGAAAGCTTGTTTGTGACCTCCATACCCATTTTTTGGACACTCTTGAGTTCATCAACTATTCCGAGACCGGCACGGGCGAAACGATCTCTCAACTGTTCTTCGACTCTATCAAGACGCTCGACTGTCGCGTTGTACGATATCTCCAGATCTCTTTGTGTTCGGGATTCGATTGCTCCGACTGTCTCCTTCTGATCCGACAACGATCGATCAGATATCTCTTGCCTTATCCTGAAGATCGTTGACTCAAGTTTTCTGCCAACTTCCACTTGCTGGCTCGATAGGTGATTGTAGAAACGGGAGAGAATATCCTCTTGCTTTTGCATTGTAAGCGTATCCTCGCACTTACAAGACCTTGCAGTCAGTGTATCTTTTACGGTCTCGATCATCCGCCCATTATGCTCTGCGAAGAGTGAAGAGCACATCTCCTCTGTCGTTAGGCCATCCCTAGGTTTTGGTACACGCGGGGGGAACTTCGCCAGCTCGAAAGTAAGCTGGGTATATCAAATTGAGAGATGCTATGAGTCTACTTCTACCGCAGAGACGAGAAAGGGAACGGACGGGCTCCCCGGGTCATACCGGTGGTGTTTGTACAAGCGTTCTTGAACGCTTCTCCGGCTGTTGCTCCATCCACTGTGCTTCATGTCACGGCGCAGACAAGATTGAGAACCAACCAGACCGAAAACGATGGCGATCGTGGGTTCGGATCTCCCTCGTTCGTATGATCACAGCTGATATGGATAGCAGGCACGAGGAAGATCTCAGTGCGAACACTCTCACTGTCAGGTGGAGCACGAGACGACTCAATACCCAGAAAAGCTTCGGAACCATTCTAGGTTTAGGAGGCATGATGCTCTCAGAACAACTATATGTATTCAATTGAGGTTCTGTGAGATGCGATCCTCTGTTAACCTATTGATATCAAGATCAATCTTGAGATCACATTTTCTTGGTTTACAGACAGCTTAGGGCAGGTCTTCCGAGCTGGGGCAACAGCTGGAGTTCCTGTCTCGCAGATCGTCAAGATTTGTCAGATCCGAGAGGGCCAATGTCTCATGACATCAAAAACAGACTGACAGACATGAAACGCAACACGTAGGTATGATGATATCTGGCGAGTTTCGAGAGATCCTGATGGCTTCATGCTGATAACGGTGGTTTATGTATACTACATACTTGGTCGATACTTTTCAACCTATCATGAACCTCCCAATCCATCCTCACAGTCTCCTACACCAAATACTCAGTGTGGTCTCTGTACTGATGGCTGTGTACAAATACATGTCTCCCAATTCAATGAAACTATCCATGAGGATTGTATGTGCTTTGAGTCCCGGAAATTATCTGTTCTGATCGAGATCTGGCAATGACGTGTTATCGAAAGTGAAATCCAAGTTGCCTGACCTGGCCTCTATACACAACGCTCCGGAACTCACTGACGTTCGATTCACCTATCCCATTCAGACTACCCACCCTAATCGCATGAGTGGACCCACTTGCTAGGTCGATCCTTCTCATCGTGAAAGTCGATGCGGTTCGATACTAGGCCAGCGATAAGACAAGGTGGACCATCTTGTGATGCATTCGAGGAATGCATGTCCTCTTGCGCATTGACATGATGGAACAAAACCATAACTCGCGTGTATAACTCTGTTTCCTCAAGCTGACCAGACGGTCGAATCAAAGGCGGTCAAGCCTAGAAATCAGTAAGGATTTTGAGGTTTGGGCATCCCGGTTTGTGCTTCAAACTGGTGCGTTTGTAGGTGTCACAACCATAAGGCCCCAGAAAGCTACATATCTCGGAAAGGAGATTCTGGAGCTCTCTATGCGTCGCCGGATCTGCCATAGAAGTGGAAGAATCTAGCTCATATCTCACTTCTCGAGAAAGGCGCAAGATGTCCGGATCTTGTTCACAAGGAACATTTGCTTTGTCTAATCTCACTCGGAATATCCTCACACATCTCGCAGTGAGTATCTCGCCGTCTGACTCTAGATCGATAGGAGTCGCTGGAGACTGGCTTTCGGCTGACATGTTATATGTGGGTTGAGCACTTCTCGATAGAGGTATCCGTAGGAGTTGCGAGTACTGTATGACAAGCCTTCACTGGAAATCAGACAAGGAGAAACAAGAGAATAATCACTTCCAAGACACGAAGAGCTGATTTGCCCGACGAATTATACCCTGGCAGAAAATCACTAGATGCGATCTTGCTGGCAAGCTGAATGTCCTGTTACTCAAGCTTCACCTGAACGCGATCAGCAACTCTCTCGTCAACATAATAATTGTCGTAACGCGCCGCATTTATGTTTCGATGTAGGCCCTTGGCCGCACGCCTGATTGACCAGAATGGACTAATCTATTCTTAGTACAGATGACATGGTAGTCTATCGCGAACACCAAAAGCCAGGGAACTTTTGTGCGAAGTAAAGCATAGTTTAGCTATCGCTAGTGTTGAACCAACCATAGGCTATCGCCGCGACCACGTTGCCATATTTAGCTTGATCAAAAGATAGCACTATGTGTTCTTTACGATGCCTTTTGTATTGAACATTTCGTTGTGTCACTCTGTGGTCTGGACTGTTTGATCTGCGTGAGTCATGGTGCCGAGATCAAAGGCAGACCCCTTATCGGAATTAGCACAAAAGATTCTACTCACTCACATAAGCCTAGATATGCCGTCCAAAGAGGATTTTCCAGTCCTTACAGATCACTTCTAGAGCCGCGAATATCAAGTGAACCAAATATTGGATGTTGAAGCGGTCGGAAGTAATAACTGCTTAACTCAATGTCTCATCTGGACTGTTGTCGGAGACGCATATTCCTTCGTAGCGTTCGTTGTACCAGCTGCCCCATGCACATACTGAGTAAGTAGATTTGCAACCGGTGCGTCGTTGCATTGCAACTGAACTCTGCATCAGAAGGCCGTCTCGAGACTTGGAGCTTGCCAAACAGATACATACGTCGTCTGCGCGGCCCGTACTGAACATTGGTGGACATTTACAGCCTCTAAGGTGGCCGCTACATTGAACTCGAATCACACCAGCAGTTTGAGCGATGACTCCCCGTCTCTCCTTGGATCATATCGAGAGCCCTGCTGACAGGCATGGTGCAACGGCTATCAGACTGCTTGTCGACTATCTATAGGGATTCTGGCTGAACATCAGCCCTGTATATACCGCAGGAGTCTGTTATGAAGGACAAAGGTCATGCTCAGGTATCTTGGGCAGACATGAGTGGGTGGTGATGAGTCAAGAAAACAGAAGATAACAGAGACCACTGTTGTGCCCAGTTCAGAGTCTTGCCCTTGGATTACACGATATACGCATGACCTGAAACATGAGATTCGACAGAAAAATCACGTCAAACTCTTATACCTGACGACTTATAAGTAATAGGGGCAGACCCAGAGATGATCACCCAAGCCAGCTTTTTCCGCATGAAGATAATGAGAACCATCTTTGCTCATCTCTTCTCGACAGCAAGCTTCGCTCTAGCATTTCCTTCTACTCCAGACTACGCAGCGAACACTACAGATATTGCATCCGGATACAGAGTCAAGTTCTCGCACAATTGCCCTACGACGACGCAGGTGTTTCCACATTTCCTAGTGACCAACGGTACCATCTGTGCGAAGCAAGACAACTTCGATCAGTCCAGCAAACAGGGGGAAGTCCGTGAATATGAGCTAAAATATGGATTGGAGCATCAATCCACTTGGACTTTTTGGATTGACAACAAAGCCAATAGCACTGGACCCAATGCCAGAAGTTTGGTTGAGGTCACTTGTTTACTGTATTCGAATCATTGCCATATAGACATCAGTAATCTTGATGCGGTGAGTAATGGTTTCAAGGTGGAAATGGACGCAAAGACTTGTTCGACCGTCGGGCCGCCTACGAAGGTCAGTCCGACCTGTGAACCACTGGTTTGCAGCATTCCTCCAGATTGGACATGTCCCGTTGAGAATCGTTTCGGTCAGGATTCCAGCAAAGGATATCCTCCCACCTACCTCGATGCTGCCCAGAGCTGCTTGTCGAACTGTACCCTCTACCAAACAGACGAAGCCTGCTGTAGGAACGCAAACAACACCACGCAGACCTGCACAAACCAGAATCCAGCACTACGAGATATGTGTGAGAATGCATACTCTTACGCTTTCGATGACTCACGCGCTTCGTATGTTTACCAACTTGCTCTGGATGGAGATACCGCGATTCACATCACGGCGTGTCCTTGATGATTGGTAAAACTATTGTCGAATGGAAACCCTGTATCCTTAGATTGCATTATCAAGATGCTTCCCTTATGGTGGTCTGTCATACGCGGATCTCGTTCTCATTCCAGGTACAACGCAGAGGCAGACACTCGTCAGTCGTGGATCGCTTGCATGTATTCGGCATAGATAGATGGAGTTGTTGATAGTATCGGCTAGCTAAAGGGCTTCTCTTCGACATCAGTACGTTGCCCTCCTCCATATTCATGGTACAAATGCTTCTGTCATGAAGCCGAGTTCTGCCATCGTGAACGTCTTAATAGCGATGCCAATATGACTTTCGAATATGCTTGTGTTGATAGTATGTATTCGAGCACGTCAATCTGAACCCATCGAGCAGGATGCATTCCGCGAATGGTGACTTGAGTAGTGCACCACGTTAGAAGGACTCCAGATCTGCTTTCTCCGGTGTTCGGATCGCGATCTAGGATTCCACTGCGAGAGTCGAGGAAATGAGGCTCACTGGAATTTGTAATAATGAGATGGGTCAGAAGCCCACATCCATGAATTGAGGAGAATCTCTACGGCAGTCAGAATTTCTGTATTGCCCACGATGCAAGTCCTTTTTCTGCACACGCCCCGTTGAAAGAACAAGTCGGTCCTCTTACTTCAGCCCGAACATGAATTCAATACGTATTAGGAAAAACTTTTTGCTTGCACTGAGACAACAGAAAATTTGCTGGAAGGAGATCAATCGATTTATTTTATTTTTTGACCGAAGTAAACGATCGATGCAAGAACCATCACAGTCAAGGTAGATGATGTTTGAATGGGTCGCGCTGGGCAAAACGAGTACAACAGATCTAACACTACGGTGTTGAGACCGGACTGTTGTGTGGGGTGACGAGTGGACGTATCGCACGATATCATACTATACCTTCCGTTTGGCCTATCTGGCGCACTGATTCGGCATGACTAAAGCGATTTTGAGCCCTTGTATTTGTTTCTCCTCGTTCTTGGCTTCTGCCACACAAGTGAGGAAGCTTGTTTTGCATGTAGAATCCATCTGTGCCAGGATCGTCTGGAGTTTTGTCCGTTTCCCAGGGTGGCTATAGATCCAAGCGAAGTACATATCCAACCAGAGGCGAGTTAGTCTTTGATCGCTGAAGTGACTTGCCGATCTTACATGTCGCAGCAGCTGGATGGTAAGATGTTCATCCGGATTTGATCCTATCAGGGAGCGTGGCTGACTGTAGTCTGGGAATAGCTGTGTGCAGCATCCTTCCTCAAGCTGCTCCAGGAGATCTCGAGCAATGGACAAGTTCATTGTCCGTTGAACTGAGTTGGTTGCAAAGGAAGACATCATGAATGGTTCGGGATAGACTGGGATAGAGATGGATTTGAGACCTCGCAGCTCACGGATGAACTCCTTGATATTGATCGTCCTCAGGTCATAAGCTGGCCGATCCACGAGGTGGACATGATAGATGTATGACCTCGCGGTCCTTTTCAGATCTCGTATAGTATATGCGTCACGGATGTCAAAGCAGAAGTTGTTCGCGCTTTCGAAAGTACATGCAACCTCTGAACAGGTATGATTCGACAACGTCAAAAGATCAGGGAGGACGGATGAAGATTGTGTCTACTTCTCGGCTCTCGAAGGAGCTGCAGCATCAGGTGCGGGCAAGATTTCTGACTGTTTGTGTTGAACGAATCTGGATGTTTTGTTACTCGGGAGCAGAAAGCTCTAGATCATCTCACGAATCTCAGTCGGAAGGCGGATATAAGCCATTGGACGACCAAGAGGAAGTTCCAAACTCGCAGTAATAGCGGTATCCTGCATTGATATTTTCTTCCAGATGTAGAGCGTGATTTTGAGTGTGGTTCACGTCATGATTCAGGACGTGATAATGAGCCCAGAAGACCTCCACAGCGGATGGTCAATGAAGTTACAATCTATTGAAGATGGTCATGATGTTGCCGTCATCGTCTGTCTCACTCGGTCCAGCTTTACCAAATGCGGATTAGAAGCTGGTCATTAAGGTTTCTGCGCTGTTATCTTGATGGATATGCAAGAGAAGCCACGTAAGGCAGTACTATAGCGAGTGATATGTAAAGGGCATTCAGCCCTCCCTAAGAGCAAGCTCAGATAACGGTAATCGGTCAAGGCAGCTTAGCCATGCGATTCCTGATCTTGCAAGCGATATTCACTATCGCGAACACAGCTTCAGCAAATCATCAAGGGTTCAACTATGCAGCGCAGGGAAATGACTACGCGTCGTTTCACAACCAGTTTTTCTTGTCAAGGTCTCTATCCGAAAGTGGGACTTTTTCTAGTGCTAGGTTGTATACAATGATCCAGGAGGGCACTGACGCCTCCGTGATCGAAGCCATTCCTGCGGCCAAAGCTACCCAGACAAAACTCTTACTAGGCCTCTGGGCATCCGTGGATGAGGACGGCTTTTCAAGAGAGCTTCGTGCTCTGAATTCCGCCATGGATACTTATGGACAAGACCTGAGAGACATCGTCATCGGTATCTCTGTAGGTAGTGAAGATTTATATCGTTCGTCTGTACTTGGGGCCAGCAAGGATAGTGGTGCTGGGCAGGACATATCTGTCCTGCTTGGTTACATTCAACAAGTTCGAGATAAGCTGAAAGACTCAGTGCTGCATGATATCCCAGTTGGAGTCAGTGCACTCACTTGAACTAGACGTCGCAGACTCATGCTGACCCATTCGCTAGCACGTGGATACCTTGGACGCGTACACAAACCACACTAATAGTCAAATTCTAGAGACTGTTGACTTCGTAGGACTCAACATCTTTCCCTACTTCAATCAAGATCCAGCGACAAGTGTGGATGCTGCAGCCGACTCTTTTTGGAAAGCCTACGAGAGCATGCTACCTTTATCCCTGGGTAAACCGGTGTGGATCACGGAGACCGGATGGCCAACAGTAGATCCCTCGAAGACAGGCGGAGCAGGTCCCGGTGTTGAGAACGCTGCAAGTTACTGGTCGAAGGTGGCCTGCGAGCTGCAAGCTCGCTGCATCAACTTTTGGTGGTATATCCTGGCAGACCCTGCCCAAATGCCGTTCTTCGGCGTCACCAATCTGCGGCAAAGCTCATCAGGGTCGGCTCTATATAATCTTGACTGCGGGAGAAGCGCAAATTGTTCCAATACTCGTACAGCTGCGTTCGCATCGACGACGAGCAAAATCTCGGTGTTACATCAGACGTCAATTGGTGCAAGTCCTGCGCGCTCCTCTGTCTGTTGAATACGGGGGCAGAGTCACTGTAAGAACTGCTGGACCAAGGTAGACTATGCGGCTGAATCTGTAGACATGATGTGTCATATACATTAAATACAAGAATACTATTCTGTACCGGTCAGTGTCAGAGTGGGTCGTGAGATTCCGTTCGGCTTCCGCCTTCAGCAGCAGCGAGCTTCGGACACTCGCTAGCAATCACTTGCTCCATTTTGAAGCTTGAGTCAGCCGGCAGCAGCTCCATCATGGTGTCCGTTAGTGGACAGAATACTCTTGTCAAGACGACAAGTAACACTTGTAGATTGGGCACCCGTATCAGTGTCAGGAGGTTTGTGTTGTACCAAGATAGCTTTAGCAGATGATCTTGGCTCGATCTGCGGTCTCAGCTATCGATGTGTTCCGGCGCACGGAACAAAGCACCAGGACAAAGAAGCGCTAAGACACGTGAAGCTCTTTCTCCACATAGAGACTAGGGCACGGAGAGACGCGCTAAGCTACTTTGGGCTATGATTTCTTACGTGTATTTTATATGGGTACTCTCCGGCTCACTCAGGCTCACTAAGGAACAGCACATATGGCATGATCGAGCTCAATCCCTTGACTCAAGGCATGTCGATCTCTGAAGATGATAACTCAATCTCAGTTCGTGGGTAGTCACCGAGGTCGTGGGTTCCCAGCAGGTCGGTTTCCCACGGGACAGAATATCAAAATGTACTATGGTTTGTTACGCTTACGGGAAGCCATGTGCGAAGATACTGACGAGACTACAACACAGCATTACCGTAAGCGAACAAAGGTGTAACACTGCTGCCACGTGTTCTTGTTCTACACCTTCTACTTTGAGACGCCGGTAATACATTTATTCTGGTATGGAATGATCGATTGATGGTTTGGCTCATATACACTCGATACGCCATGGCCCCCTCACAGATTGTTCTATCTGTGAGAGTCAAGGGTGGCTAATCTGCGATCTTCATGACCTGAGCTAAAATAACATGGAGAGTCGGGTATCCTTTTTAGGAGGTGTTAGCTGGCCAGCAGAGGAAGACATAGATTACGGTTTGGTACCTGTCTTTGCATCGCCAGAGCCTTCAACACGAAGCAAACTGTAAGACGAACAGTGGTCATACCTGTTCCATAAGTAACAGATGGGAAGTGGAGTGTTGGTATGATTCGAACAATAGGACGTGTCGTTGCTCTTCGGAAAGCGAACGTCTGTTGTTTTTTCGTAGTATTGGCTCACGTAAAACACGCTTGTGGATGATGAATCATGACAGTTCGTTGATTTTCGGTTAGCGCGCGTCCGCCACTTACGATGTGCTGGGGTGTGATGCAAGGCTTTGTTTTTTTCTCTCTGGCCCGAGTCAATCAAGACAACTCGTTCGGGTGATCAGGCATGGGAGATGATCTGAGCTCAAGCTGGATGGCAGCGTCGCGGTGACTATCGCTAGAGATATATGGTTTTCTCTCAAGGCTGCAGGCCTCTTATGAAACGTTGGCCAGCAATATCCTGCAATAATTGATATATCTTAGTCGCAAATTCCTTGATCATCTTGGGGCTTGCGAGAAGACTGTCTGGTTTGATGATGGCGACGACGGGTGAATGTAAGTCTTTACATGTCGGCCGATCCACAGAAAGCTGCTCACGAATATCTAGCTATAATCGTCTTGGATGCAAAGCTTCTTGAAGATCATAAAAGTCTCCAAACGTTCTCGTCAATCTCGCACAAGGCTGTATCGCGATCGCACGAGGTTGTCAAGAAAGAGAGTGTGAAGGTGAAGAACATGCTCGAGCAGGAGTCGTATCAGAGCCCTGAAGCAAAAACATGTCTCATGGCGATTGCCTCAACACTGAAATCGATGGAGGAAGGAATCTTGGAGCTGCAAAGTAGATTACAAGGGGGAAAACAACTTGCCTGACCATCATTGTAGCAACACATCATATCTACAACGAGACACCTGCAGTTCCCTGTATAAGTTCAACCTGTATCACGTTGCACCATGATACAAACGATCTCAGATCTCCAGATTGTGCTTGTCAGAAGATCGGGACGGCGCGTCATACGCTCGATGGCGACCTTCTATCACCTCGCTGTTTTAGGCAGCCACAAGTTCACAGCCATGTTCAAAAAGTTGTATGCGACCAGCGATTTTGCTCATAGACCCAAGGGAATTTCAAGCTCTCCGCCGTAGTGCCCATCAACCATAAAAAGCTCCCTAAACTCTTCGAGAGTTGTCTCGGTGTAACTCAAGAGAGATGAGATTATGGTCTGTCTGACACACTTCTCATTTTCCCGGCTTTGCTCCAGCCTCCCGATCTGAATGCTAATCACCATGTCATACGTCCCGTCACCGCGATCCTCTGTGTTAATCATGCTCCGAAAATTTCCGAGTCGTGTTATTTGATGGGCCAAATCGCTCGCCTCGAAGAAGCAGGCATCGAACCGCCTTTTCGAGTCTGACATCATATCGATATTGTTCTTCCCTGCTTCGATCAACTGATGCAGGAGAGTTCCAATGCACTGAAGATTGCGTAAGGAAAGTATTGGCTCTGAGCGAGGGCGATACAATGGAGTATTCTGGAGCGGCCGGTGGCAGAACTCTTGTGGGGACACCTTAGGGTCTGAAGATCCAATGTGCGTGCAATCGTCCAGTTCTTGCAGTGCCTTGTACGCTTTCCCGAAGCGTCGACGCTCACACTCCGCTATCTCAAACAGCTGAAGGACACTTGCTCCATTATGAACGTCGATTTCATGGCTTTGCGTGAAGAGATTCATGGTCACATGGTTTTGACCTTCATGCGGCAAGAAATCTCGTAGCGCATCTCTGATTCCGTTAGGCTGTACCCAAGAGCCTGTAAGGATATCAGAATTCGGCCTCAGCCATTCTCCGAAACACATAGTGGGAAACCAGAAGGTGTGATCCATCGCATAACCCACAAACATGAGCCCCAAGCGACTCATCGCCGAGCGAAACGAGTTGAGGCTTTTGACCAGGTCTTCGATGTGACTAATCTTCTATGGTGTCTGACATATTCCTTGCGTCAAGCGCATGCTGGAACAAGGACCAAGTCGATTTTTGCCTTTCTTTAGGGGTCCGACCTTTTCCTGAAGGATGTCGTCCATACAAAATTGGAGGCGGTGGTCCCTCCAATCGCTTTCCGCAATCATTGTGTTGTCGTGCTGTTGCTGCGGTATTGTGTCGACTATGGACTAATAGACTTATATTTGATTAGACCACTGCAGCTACAAGTTCGTGCACATTGTAATTTTTCCAGACTCATCTTCCCACGGGAGATAAACACGTCCTTCTTCTTGGCTTGTGCTAGCCGACGTCCGTCAACGAACCGAACACTCCCATACCCACAAATCAAGCAGGTAACTTATTCTAGTCTCGATGTGTCACCATTGTCATCTCGAATGTCAAGACTTTCGGTTTGTATTTCAACAGTCTCATTGGCACTTTATGTGTATGTGATCGTCAGTGTCATTTCCTGGACCATCGTATCCTCATCTCCGCAATTACCCGACGTCTCCGCATTGTGTGGTCATGTCACGTGAGGTGAAAGCAAATTATCTGATTCTATGCGGCAGTTTTGTGAACGAGAACACGCTGGTCATATTCATTGTCGACGAAACATGTAGCAAGGGAATGACGAATAAGTGCATGTGCTACCAGCAGGGCTTGTCAGGTCGTTTTGACTGCTGCTGAGACACAACCAAAACAGACCAGGTAACCCCACCGCCAGCTTCGTGATGTGCAGCCAAATTCTGTCCTGATCGATGCAGCTTCCAGAGCTGTGTCGTCCGTCCACTGAGCTTGATTCGTCCGGCATAGTAGAACATCTTTCACTGCTGTCACATCATGCATTATTGCGTGTTAGGCTGACAAGGATGGCGTTCTCAGCACATATCCATTAGATTAATGCCTGATCGATACTGGCTGACAGGGTGACCCTGTCAGCTTGCCGAGCATATTGAACATCGAGTTCGGTTCGTGAAGATAGTTCTGCTCAATGTGTTGACCACACAGAACATAACCAAACAGTGACACGTCATAATCCAGCCGACATCAGTCGTCTGTCAGAATCGACATAGCCCAAATCGATCCAAATTGTGATGATAGCCTGCACATCGTGACCCCGGGTAGCTCAAGTCGTGGTCAAATATTCACTTTGACCTTGCTTGGCCCTTGCACCGTGTCAATGTCCTTGCTGACAGACTTGACGTAAGACGAAAGTAAGGAGAGACTGTCGAGCGACGAATGAAGATAATGTTGAAATCACGTGACTTCTCGGCATAAAGCGCAGGTGGTTCGAAGGCATACTCCCTCGCGCTTTCGATGCTAGTAAGGTGCTCGCTGGGCTAGAAAGCGTCTATGAGCCCAATCTAGATACTAATTTCATCAGCACCTCGACAAGGTTCGACACAATCAGAAGCCCGGTATATATACGAGGCCGTATATCACTAGGAGGCAACTCCAGCCCCGGCCTTGTATCATGTTGACCATAATCTTTGAAACACATAGAGATTATCGGAATATATGGTCCATGGGCGATCTCAGCATCTGGCGCCGCTTGTTGACTATACTCTGTCGTTGTGTGCTAGGGGTCGGGGCACGCGTCCAGCAGATCGCTGCCCGCTGTGTATCGTGTGATCACTGTCACATTGTCAAATCATCAGGTTTGGACAGTGAGCATCAACATTCGGCGCTGCTCATCACTTCTGGTTTCCTTAGTTCTGCTGCTCATTCCTTGGTCAGATTTATATCGCAATCTATCTCAACAGTTCTATCAAGCCAATGAGATCTATAAAGACTCTTCAGCCATCTGCTCGCCCTTAGGACTTTTTAGATAGATGTTCCAAGTCTCGTAGCATGCACTGATTAATTCTTCCCTTGCACAGCCTTACTGCTACAATACCCGCACGTGCGACCCACATCTGTCATCAAAGGGTATCTCATCCACTCGGAAAACCATTTCTGACATTATCGTACTCGCTGGAGAAATACTGCAGCAGTTTGAAGGTGTTATCCATTTGATCAGCTCCAGCAAGTCTGAGCTTGTCGACTACCTGTGATGATGATCAGCCTGGACCTCACAGACTGCTGCGAGTGGCATACAGAGTTGACGATACTCCTGTCATCGGTACGGTCGCCGCTACTTTCCCACCACATGGCGCCCCCCAGCTTCCGCTGCTTGATGTAGCCAGCTTTAGCCGAGGCGCTGTATGAAGTATCGTATGTGACCATGAGCTTGTTCAGAGAATCATAGCTCCAGCATGCAATCATCTGCAGGTCACAGATTTCTATTGCTCCAGGTCTCGGGAGAGACTAAGACAAAACAAGATGGTCAGAAATGTATAAGAAAGGCAAGCTAGGCGCCTTAGGTGGATGTCTGATACCTTATAGTCCGAAGTTCCAGTCTCCCAGTCCCCAGAGTTGCCAGTCCCTGCATATGGAAACCCAGCCCCTACAGTCTTAGCGAAGATTCGGCCGTATAGCGGCATCCCCAGAATTATCTTGTTCGGCAGGATACTAGCAGACTGCGTATAGTGATCCGCTGCCGCGTTGATGTTGGAAGGTGTACTTACTGTATTGTTCGTTGATGGATAGACATTCCCCTGATGCCCTGTCAGTGCCGACCACGGTCCTGCGGGATCATATGCCATCAGATTCCAGAAATCCACATAATGGTCCATCTCGGTTAGTTTCATCAAGCTATAAGAAGAAGGGCCACAGGAAGAGGCCACGGTCAACAGGAGTCGTGGGTGTTGTGGTAGACTGAGGGCATGTTTGTCCAGTTCTCTACGTACTGTAGAGAGTAGTGCTACACAGATCTGCGCGTCTGCGTCGGTCTCTATATGTTCCCGATCGATGTCTAAGCCATCGAAACCAAGCTTAGCGAGTAAAGTCACTGCGGTCTGCGCAAAGTTCTGTCGACCCTGCTCTGTGGATATCGCATTGCCGATGTTCTGAGAATAGATTGAGCCTCCGATGCTGAGAAGAGTTTTCAACCTCCGATTCTTCTTCTTCAAGAGAAAAAGTTGCTTCAGACACCCTTTGAGAGTCTGGTCCGACTCCGACCATGTGTCGGAAGGAAAAACCTTGTCAGTGTCAGCATAGGGATCAGAAAGAAAAACTTTGCCATCTTCCATGCTGATGTTCGCGAATGCATAGAAGACGTGCGTAAGATTCCCAACAGGAAGATCGTATGGCTGATGGTTCCGAGCATACGTTGCCTAGTACCTATCAGTAATGTCAACAGGGATAGACTTGGAACCACTCACCCAATTTACATAGTATGCTGCCGCACGATAACCACTAAGTGGTCGATGTCGTCCCCAAAAGAAGAGGCATGGAGACGAGCTGCGTGTCCTCTGCATTTGTACTTTTCGATAAGCTTGTATCGAAGTCTCTTGTCCATAATTGTTTCACGACATGAACAGTGCTCCAGCCGCCAGTCGCTGTCTTTAGTGACCATAAGTCCGCGTATGTCACGATTGGAGATGTCCGACCACTTTTACAGATGCAGGCATCATATTTCATATATATATGTTAGGACCGGATCGTCGCTACTTGTACATTTATAATCCAGGAAGGTACGTAAGTGAGATTTACGTCGGCTTCCAATCTTCAATGGCATGATAGATTCTCGAGACCAAGGACAAGTCATATGTGTAGAGAATATCTTTATCATGTGCAGAGACTCACAAGCGTTGTGGTAAGCTATGAAGTATTGCTCTCCGGGACTCACAGGGGACCTTTTCCTCTACTTCCTAGACTCTCCAATCTGGATCAGCCGACAACAAAATAGCATCTACTGCTCGTAAGAAGACAAGCGAGAACCAGCAATCAATTTAGCTCAACATCGCCATCCAGATCTAGCCAGACTCAAACTTGTCTACTAACCGCTATATATCTCTTCCGGCCCGCATATGTTGTTTGTAGCCAGTTCAAGCTTGACTATCGAGTATGGTGTGTCAGGGTGGCAAGAGTGTCCAGTCATCTTCAAGCCTGCCCTCTCGGCCAAGGTCTGCCACTCGTCCAAATTACGCTCGCGCGAGTTGAATGCTGCCAACATCGTTATGTCCATTCAAGTTGCCGTTCGAGAAGTCATCGGACAATCTTTGACGAGCTCGTGTAACAGAATGATCGAATCACAGCTCATGACAGATTTCAGATTCTCCAGAATGGCACATGCTTCATCATCCGGCCAGTCATGAAGGACCGAGTGGAGGTAGTAGGCACGAGCTATTAAGTGTTAGCAAAGGAGTCAAAGATCGTTTCAGCTTTTGGATCAGTTTCAGATCATGGAGAAATCGTACCTTTAACAGTTTGGGGTCTGAAAAAATCATGAGGCATAACATCGATGTTGGGCTCGACTTTGGCTTGTTTCAACACCTTTGCCGAGTCTTGCAAGATCAATTTGCCTGATTGTATCCGGTGTTTGCGTTGAAACGCGTTGATATCGTGACCGATCCCCCCACCAACATCAACGAGGACAACTTCCAGCTGTCTGTCTTCTTTGTCCTGTACCAGTTGTTCGGTGGGATAGATATTGACCCAACTCTCCATGGATTCGCTAACTCCCTGCATGCAGAGGGCGAAGCTCTTTTCAAGCTCGGGATGTTTGGACAAGTACACGAAGAAAGTGTCGTCGGTTCTGAAAGCCTGACTGAAGGCAGTCGATCTCGAAGTTGGACTCGTAAGGCTGTACTTTCTCTCGCGTAGGTACGATGGGAGTTGGTCTAACATGCGTGACTGGATTTTCCGGGAGTAACAATAGGCTGCTTTCTGGTCGGGCTTTGCCAGAGACTTCGCAAACTCAGTCATAGCATATTTTCCTGGATCATGGTTGATAAGGAGATTGTTCGCCGCCAAATTGTGCAGCAGGCGGTCTGTGGGCGAGGTCAGGTGTCTTTTCGTCCTTTGATATGTCGAAAACAACCATACCTAACAACAGAGGATCACAATTTGTGTCTCGACAGAGATCCTCCGGACTTTGGACTTCAGCTCCAGCATCTGTCCATGTCTGGAAGACCCCCAAGTCAATCAAGGTGTAGATGCAAGCTTTGATACACGGCTAAAAGGATCAGCAGTGCAATATGATCGGCCGATGCACCAGTATGGTTCTACTGACTTCCTGCCAGACGATCCTCTTGGTCGTTTCCCAGGGGGTCTCGAGTCTTTTGCTCAGTGAGTCGATGCTCAATCTCAACTCGCTTTTTGCCTCTACTGAAAGGCTTGGATAGACTCTTTCTACAACTTCCAGAAGCTCCAAAGGATCTGTGTCAACCGACATTGCGAGATTGTCTGGGTATCCTGATCACCGACAAGTATATGGTACAGAGCGGACTTTGACAAGCTTGAGTAGTTGCGACTGCTGCTTTCGAACGCTCAGAATCCTCAATGACGCAACAGAGATAGTCACGGATATCCATGCTGTTTCTTACGAAATACAACGAGTGGCGCGTATATACAAGGTCGTGGTATCCTACCGGAGTATTCATGCGCTTTCGAAGCATCAAGTTTACAAGTCGAGTGTAAGAATGGTATCATTGACGATTACGGTTATGTGATTACAAATGCGGCATCTCGCTAACTAGCGGTAATTCGCGTTTCGAACGCGGAGTGAACTTGCTGCGAGCTGTAATGCAACGGAGCGTAAAAGTCGAATCTGGGAGGTTACGCTAACACTACACCATTAACATCGACCTTGACTCATTTTCTGACAACGTGCGGGTCACTACAGGCACAACGGTGGTAGTCGGACAGGCGGGGTAGTCGGACACTAGATTTCGAGCTCCAGATAGCTGTATACATCAATCCATCGACCATTGCGCAACACCACGTCGTCGCTATGCCTCGTTATTCAGAAGATGACATGGCCGCGGCCATGCGCGCAATATCTGATGGTCAGATGTCGCTTCGAGACGCGCAGACGAGATACCACATCCCTAAATCAACAATCAACGACCGGATGAACGGCCGGCTCTCACGAAGAGATGCGCACGCGCACGAGATGATATTGACGCAGCAACAAGAAGAGGAGTTAGCTAGCTGGATACTTGATCTGGATCGAAGACACCAGCCTCCCTCGGAGTACCGTTGCCGTATGATGGCCTTATTCATCCTTAGTGATTCGAATCCTAAGGCCAAACTCGGCCGTGAATGGCTCTACCAATTCTTTAACAGACATCCAAGGATCAAGATGCTTATAGGAGACCCTCATGAGTCTGCTCGAGTCAATGAGGCTACAGAAGAGAATGTCCGGGCCTGGTTTCAGATGTTTCTACACGAAAAAGAGACATATAAGGTCCAGGATATTAATATCCATAATATGGATGAACATGGCCTATCTATAGGCAAGATCAACCCCCGAAAAGTTGTAGGAGCAGCCTTTGATGCCTTTGGCAAGCTCAGAAAGAGAACTAAGATGCGCAACTCACAGGATCGCGAATGGGTCTCAATTATAGAGTGTATCTCTGGATCTGAGACTTCTATACAGCCACTAATTATTTTTGAAGGTATCAATGTCAATATTGACTGGACACCTGATGATCCACCTCCATATAAGTACACAGCTGATCCTACTGCATGGATCACCGAAGATATCGCTATTTGGTGGTTAAATGAGATTTTTAATCCCCAAACGAAGCCTCGTGGTAGTGCATACCGGATTCTACTATTTGACAACCACTCAACACACCTCACTGAGAAATTTGAGGGTATCTGCCGTAGGGAAAAGATCATAACTATTCCTCTACCTTCTCATACATCAGATGTGTTACAACCTCTGGATTTGATCATGTTCTCACCAATTAAAGGAAAATACAAGGATAAACTATACAAGCTCTGTGAATTGAGTGATGGCGACAACACTAAGAAGAAAGACTTCTGCCACCTATACTATGAGGCTCGTCAAGAGACATTCAAGCCATCTAACATCAGATCTGCTTTTAAAAAGGCTGGTCTCATCCCATGGGATCCGGACTCAGTCATCGTACGCCCAGATATCATCAAACTTATTAACCAACAACCACAAACCCAACCGGATGGTCAACTAGCTCAGCCAGCTACTGCTAAGGGTCTTGAGATTGATTTATACCATGTTACAGCAAGTCAAGACACTAATGTGGACGAAAAACTTGAGATGACGCACTGGGTAGCTACTAAAGCTATCGAAGCCTTGTCATCAAAAACCGTCGAATTGGCCCAACTACAGCTCAAATACCAGACCCTTGAGCACAAACATAAGCAGCTACAAGAGAAGAAGGGCCGCAAGAAAGTACCACCAAAAAGAGGCCGTCATTTGGTTGAGGCAGACGATATCGTGCGAAAACAGCAGGAGTGGAACAAGGAGAACACTACGCCACCACCACCTCGAAAAACACTGCGTTCAGCTATGAGAGCTTGATTGTTTACCAATTATCTATCTACAGTTCAATTTTGAAGCGAATTGAGTCGCTCGTCGTCGAATGCGACCGTACGGAAGTTGTAGTATACCGCTAAGATTGGTGTCCGACTACCCCGCCTGTCCGACTACCACCGTTGTGCCTGTATGCGAGTAGACATAGTGACTCAAAACTCTCGGGGCACATGCCGTACAGCGGTACGGTCAGGCTGGGCCTTCGCACGGGTGGTGCCAACTCGCATTACGCGGACTTGTCCTCTCGTTTGCCTCCATAATGACTGGTCGCTTGTGGTCCCGAGCTGTCTCATAATCGCATCAGGATCTACTGATCGAGAGATAGCACTATCTCAATGCTATTCGTCGCAGATCAGTGAATGGAAGCTGATAGAGGTTGACCACGAAGCGGTGTGTCTTCAACAAGCGTGCCTTTCTGCGCCAAGAGCTTCAGCTCGGCGACACTCAAGTCACCTTGGTCTTTTTCGCTGAATTCCAGGCGCTCACCTTACTGTACAACGATCCCTGCCCATATACCACACCATTAGGCGCATCTGGAAGATATTGTCTCACGAATGAACCGCTCCTACCACCTCGAGTCTTCGATGTGCCTACTCACGTCTTTGTCACTCCTCCCATCGCGTCCACAGAACCAGAGCCGCACATGTGGACACAGGGACTGTTCATCTGCCAGGCAGCGCATGGTAGTCTCAACGGTTGCCGACACCTCCTAGTCTTGTTCATGCGGGCAATTCATCGCCGTTGCCTCTGCTCGATGTTGGCGCAGACAGTTGACCAAGCCCACTCCCCTCGATGTTGTGTTCACTACCATCACAAGAGTCAGACGGCCATAACGCGTCCTGTCAAGCACCGCCCTGTCTCTACTCGCCCATCAGGTGGTCAATTCATCCTCGCCCTGGGATTCTCCTTCAATTGAACCTCACATTCCTCACGACAGAAACCTTGGTTTCGCGCTTGGACCGACTACTATTGTACTGATTGAAGCTTGTTTCTATCCTCATCATCTCGCCCTCGCGCCGTCTTCTCCTTGGAAGTGCCTCATCTGATCCACGTCAGGTCTCCGCGTCTGCTCTCGTCATCCCTAGTCAACCCCGTCCGTCGCTTCTGCTCCTTCTGGGTCTCGCATCACCGTCGCTGCCATCGACGTCTGGCTCATCATACCTATCCCCCGTTTTGTATGAGAAGTTCATCGCCGAGAGGACGCTATGGCATGCGCAAACGTCGTACGCGCACTTTCACTGGTCTATCCGCACATTGGAAAGCTTGCGATGACAACGTTTATCTTACCCTCTTGACGGAATTTGCCTCCCATCGATGAGGGCATAATAACCGTGAAGAAGAGTGTCGTGCCCAGATCGGTTCCTTCACCCGTGTAATACAAGTTGGCCAATTCTCTGCCGAGTCCCCTTCTCGCTTTTAGCACTAGCCCACGCCTCAGAATCAATAACAAAGCACGGGTCGCCCACTCGCTTCACCGTGTCGATTTTGATTACTTTCTCAACGGTACTACCCTCGATACCTTTGATCTTTCGCATGCTACGGCATGGGGCTCAATGATACCGCCGCCCATCGGGACTCTAGCACCAAGACGCGCATCCCCTTCAACCCATACGATTGGATAGAAAGAGCAAGCAAACATTTCCTGGTAGATTGGCGGGGTTTGTTGCAGTTCTATATGAGATGGCCTGCAAGCTCATGCCAGCCTGTATGGCGCCATGTACTCCACTGCGCCAGAGCTACTCGGGCTTCACTCCATCCATGACATAGCGAATTTCGCACACTCCCATATCATAAATGTGCGCGGACCTGCCCATCCGGGTGTACGGGTCTGATACATGTCACATTGGTTTCCTTGTCAGATCTCGTCTTTGCTGTCCTGCGTTTCGAGCTCATTGAGAACTTTTTGCATGCTAGCTCTCGATTTGGCGATGGCTTCAAAATTCCGTTCGAGTTTCCTATGCTGTCGATAGAGGTTATGGTAGCTCAGTACGATGATGGTCAACTGCGTTTGGTCTGCTCCTGACATAGCGGAGCACAAGGGCAGTGCCGAAGTCAAAAGTAGTACCGCCGTGCATTTGAATGAAAGTTGGAGTCTCCTGGTCTGGAGGTTGATGTTTCGCGTGTGATATGCATTGAAACATTGTCCCAATTGCGCGTCTTTTGGTCTGAAAGCAGAGTCAGTACTCAATGAACTCGCTCGACTGTTTGGACATAGTCACTGACGATCGACCGCTGAGTGACGACTTCGCAGCGAGCAGCTCATAAGTCGCGGGATGGCGCCGCAGTATATCCACGGCAATCACCGTAAGGTCGCACAACGAGTAGAAAGGTAGCGTGGCGACCCAAGTGCTCCGTTCAGAACAGCCGCTGGCTATGAGGGAAACCAG